GTAATAAAATAGAGCATAACAAAACTGTGAAACTTCCTCAAGCCTTGTCAGTGGTTAAAATATTTAACACCCCCCACCCCCCTCCTGACACTCTTATTGACAGATGTTCTGTTTTTTATGCCCTCCCCCACCCCCCAAAAAATAAAGAAAAGGAAACCAGTGGTTTCTAGGTCAGTGGAGAGGCTGGGGCAGGAAGGGGTGAAAGCCTCAGCTGGTGTGGAACAGGTCACTGGGGAAGGCAGGTAGTGCTATAACATAGTCTGTGCATCACCCCAAGGGCAGGGTTTTGGGGAGATGTTCCTGCAAACCCCCCCACCCCATGGATAGTAGGTTCCCTCCCCTTTGTGTTACCTTTCAGCAAAAACAAACCTGTTCTGTTGCTCCTCCGTCCCCCTCCCGGGTTCCACCCGCTGATGTTCCTTCGCAGAGAGAAGGGGATTGGGAGCAAAGCCCTTTCCCAGCCACACTCGAGAAGAGAAAGGCTCCTGAATTCAGATTTTCAGTTCAGAACCGCCCCCTCCCCGTGCATGCAGGTGAGGAGATGGCTGTGGGGCTGGGCTGGGCTCTCCTGGCCCAGCCACCACTGCTTTTCCAAAGGATCCAGCTGCTCCCATCTCCTCCTTGGCCGTAGCTTTCCGTTCCTTTCTGTGATGTTGATGGTAATTAAGAAGCCTTAAATTAGTGCTGACTGGCGTGATGATGATGATGATGAAGTCCAAGCTGTGTGCCATCATCCCCTCCCAAGGCAGCGTGGTACTAACCAGCCACAACACCCTCTAACAGTGCAAAGGTTGGAGTTCCGTATTTTTCCCTCCCCCTTTTATTATTTTTCTTTAACAGGAATTCGTATTTGGTGTGGCTTTAACTGTATTTCGGAAGGTCATCAGACTAACTGTCAGACTGCTTCCCTGAAACATTTTTTGTGCTATTGTTTAAAAAAGAAAAAACCAGGAAAAAAAAAAAAAAAAAAGGTTACAAAGGAGATTAAAAAAAAAAAAAAGATTAAAAAAAAAAGATTTAAAAACAGTTGGCGTTAATAAAAATGTCAATGTGGAATTCACGTCCTCATCTTGTGTTCTCTTCAAAGCCTCCAAGGACCCCAAGCTGGGAGGGGACAGTGGCCAAGGTGTCATTTACAGCCTCAAGGAACCCCCAGTCCTCCTGGGCCATCAGTGGTAGGTCCTGGGGAGCACAGACTGTGAGTAGAGCCTGTATAATCTAAATAGAAAGCACTAAAGAACTGACCAGGACGGGGTTTGGAAGGTAAAGGAAAGGGCAAGTTAATTGTTAGTGAGCAAATTTGTATTAAATCCTGAAAAGCTGGGGGGAGAGGGAACAGCACCATCCACCAAATTTATATTGAACTCCTGAAAGGTTGGGAACGGCATCCTGCAAGTGCTGCTGCTCCAGGGCAGGGAAACACCCCAGGAACAGAACTTCAGGAGCAGCCACAGAGCCTCTGGCCCAGCATCACCCTGGTTGGTATCCCTGGGGAAAAGGGCCCGGCCCAGGAATTCTGCTGGCCCCGAGTCCCATCCCTACCCCGTGTTTCCCTGCCGTCAGCACTGCCCTTTCAGCACACTAAGCTGCTTTCCCTTCTGCTCCCTGCACACTGACAAAATAACCTGCAGAGCTGGGGTGTCTGACACCGGGGGCCCTGTGGCTGCCAGCTGGGGCTGCTCCTGTTTGCACTCACACAGTGCCAGGGCCAGGCCAGCGCTGCAGGGAGGGCACACAAACAACTCGCTCGTGCTCGCTGAGCAAACTGAATGGGCCCAGCAGACTGGCTGGGCTGGGGCTCCTGGGCAGGCACTGAGAGCAGCTCAGGCCTTCGTGGGAGTAACTCTGGGCTTTGTCCACCTCACAGCAAATCTCCTGTTTGTTCTTTACTTTGGCCATTGGAGAGAAAGTGATGCTCCAGGAGAGGGGCAGGAGAAGAGGAGTGGGAGTAGTTGTGGGTGAGGGATGGGATGGGGCTCAGGTGGTTGTTAATGAGAGGAGCTGTGGCTGCTCCATCCCTGGAAGTGTCCAAGGCCAGGCTGGATGGGCTTGGAGCAACCTGGGATAGTGGAAAGTGTCCCTGCCCATAGCAGGGGATGGCACTGGATGGGCTTTAAGGGCCCTTCCCACCTAAACCATTCCATAATTCTGGGCATGTTGAGCTTTAAACAGCCTGTGATGTTTTATTCCTGCAGAGGAAGGGCCACACCTGGTCCCTGTGTCCTTCCAGTTGGTGTAAATGAGCTCTGTTTGGATTCCTAAACTCTGATCCACTCAGAGGATCCCACTGACCCCCAAGCTCGGGATATATCCAAAATCCCAGGCAGTCCCAGCACCTTGGAATCTGTGCAGGATTTTCTGAGGAAGCTGAGCAGCCTCAGGAAGGGGAAACCTCATCACCCAGCTCATGTCCCAGCCCTGCCACGTGCCAGCATCCCCCCGTGTCTGCAGCCAGCAGCTCCTCAGCTCTTCTCTCCCAGTTCCTGCAGTCGGTTTATGGAAGCAGGAGAGGATACAAACCTCTAACGGGGATGCTCAGTATTCCATTTATGGGAATGAGGAGAAAAGCTGCATCCAGCTCCAGTTTCCAGCTCCAGCCTGGGGGAGGTGACTGCACAGGCTCCTTGTCCTCATTTACACTGGAGTTTGGGGGCTTTCCTTGCTGCCAAGGCCAGATTTGTACTGAGTTCTTTAATTTTTTCTCTCTCCCTGCTTTTCCTGGGAAGCAGTTCCCTGAGGGAATCCCTCCTGCTTGGCACTGCAGGGCTGTGTCCTGGTGTTCAGCAACTCCAGCTCTGTGAGGCTCCTCCATTCCCCCCTCTTTGCTCCTTTTCCCCTCTGGAAAAAGCTGCAGGAGAGTGAATTTCACCTGATTTCACCCCAAAAGCTGCTCAGTGAATCCCTCTGATCCAGAGCAGCCACGAGAATTCCATCCCTTCAGGCTGGATAACGTGCTGCTCCCTGTGCCAGGCTGTGAGCAGGGATTGGCCTTCAGAGCCCCTGATGTTCCCAGAGCTGTTTCCAGCTCTTCCCAGTGCGGATTTACCAGGAGCAGCCCCCTCTCCTCCTCTCCCTGCCTCTGGATCCTGTGCTCCATCAGTCTCTTATCCCAGAGGTCTCCAATCACCAGGGAATGGGTGAAGACAACTCCATTCCGTGGATGCAGCCCCAGCCACCTTCCACACATCCCAGCTTTGTTTTTCCAGCTGGAGCTGCTGGGACAGGTGCAGATGAGACATTGCAAGAACAAGATCGTGGGATCATGGAATTGTTAAGGTTGGAAAAGCCCTCCAAGGTCATCAAGTCCAACCTTTCACCAGCACTGCTGTGAAGTTTTTGAACACTTCCAGGGATGGGGACTCCACCACTGCCCTGGGCAGCCCTTTGCAGTGCTTTACAACGCTTTCCATAAAGAATTTTTCCCTGATATCCAATTTTTCCCTCTGGCACAGCTTGAGGCCGTTTCCTCTCATCCTGTCCCTCCTTCCCTGGGAGCAGAGCCCGATTCTCACCTGGCTTCCCCATCCTGTCAGGGATTTGTGGAGAACAGTGATGGCAGCAGGACAACCACTTCCCCGCCCTCCCAGGGAAGGATTTATTCCCAATATCCCATCTAGCCCTGCCTCTCTCAGGGATCATCCCCTCCTGGCCCCATTTCCCCCCGCAGCGATGCCCGCATTCCATCGGATCCCGTTTCTGGAGCACGTCCCTTTCCCGGGAAACCAAAACACCCGTGGAGCCGGGGATGATTGATGGGGTTTGAGCGCGGCGCTCCCGCGCCCGCAGCGCTGCCTGTCCCAGGGCATCCCTCAGCCCGGCCCTTCCCGGGAGGTGCCTCGTCCCAGCTAATTGTCGCTTGTCTCCCTGTCCACGGAATGCCGCAAAGCGCCCGGCTGTGTCACTAATTGCGAACCCGCCGTTACGCGCCGTTAATTATTCACCTCCACCTTCGTCCCGCCCTTCTTCTCCCAGGCATCCCTTTCTCGCCTCCCGCATCCCACGGATGTGGCTCCGGCCCTTCCCGCCCTGATGTGCCCCGTGTGACCGCCTTTTGGGGACACCCCGGGATGCAGAGGGACCCCCGAGGGGAGACCCCCGAGGGTCGCCGGTGCGGGGCGGGGGAGCGGTTCCATCCCGACCCTGGAGCCCTCGGGGCTCCGCCCGGTTCCCGGCACCGGGGGCTGCGGGACACCCAAACCCACCCTGGCTCCCGTTCAGCTCGGGCAGCGCCGCCGGCTCCGCTTCCCGAGCACGTGGCTCCTCCCGGGCCGGTTCCGGTGCCCGGAGCTGCCGCTGCTTCCCGGGGATGCTGCGGGCGGAGCCGCCGCCAGCAACGCCAGTGCCGGTGACCCCGGTCCCAGCCATCCCAGTCCCGCTGATGGCGGTGGCGCCGCTTCCAGCGATCCCGGTGTTCCCGTTCCGGGGGTCCCGGTGGAGCCCCCCCTGCTCCCCCCCCGCCGCGGACCTCACGTGGCCGCTCCCACCTCCCCCCACCCAACACCCCCGCTCCCCACTCAATGGTCCCTTCCCGGCCTCGCTCCTCCCCGCGCGCGCCGCCGGAACCCCGCCCCTCCTCCTTCCTCTCCCCCTCCCCCTCCGCCGTTCTCCAATGGGCTCGCGCCGCCCGCCCCGGCCAATGGGGGCGCGGCGCGCGAGCGCGGGGGGGGGAAATTACCCGTGGCGGTGTCCAATCAGCGCGGCGGGCGCGGGGCGCGCGCGCGGGGCCGCCTGGCGTATCCCTCCGCCCGCCCCGGTGCGCGCGCGCGCCGCCGCCGCCTCCGCCCCGCGCGGCACCTCTTTACCTCTCCTTTTTTTTTTTTTTTTTTTTTTTTTTCTCCCTTCTCCCTCCTTCCCTACGCTTTGGTTTCAATTCCGCCGCCGCACCCGGGAAGAGCCGCACGCCTCCCCCCCCCGGCCTCCCGGCAAGGCCCCGGCTCTTTCCGCCCTTTCCCCTCCCTCCGGCCCGCCCCGCTCTCCCCCCACCCCCTCCCCATCCCCTCCCTCCCTTCCCCTTCTCTCTCGCTCGCTCTCTCCTCCCGCTCCTCCCGCCCGGCGCCGGAGCCGCCACGCCGCCGCCATGGAGCTCATCACCATCCTGGAGAAGACGGTGTCGCCGGGTGAGGGCTCGGGGGCCGCGGGGCCGAGGGCGGGCAGGGCCCGGCGGGGCCGCGCACCGGGGGAGGGCGCCCGCAGCGCGCCGGGGGAAGGGCGTGGGTGGCCCGGGGCGGGCGGGAGCTCTCCGGTGTTGGCGGCGCGGGCGCCTGAGGGGCCGCGCGGGGCGCTCGGGCCGCGCCTGACGCCGGTTCTCCCCCGCCCCCCCATCCGCCCCCCCTGTCCCTCGCAGACTGCTCGGAGCTCGAGGCGGCGCAGAAGTTCCTGGAGCAGGCGGCCATCGAGAACCTGGTGAGCGCTCGGGGGGCGCCCGCGGAGCGGCCCCCGCGCCCCGCCCGGCCCGGCCCGGCCCGGCCGCCATGGCCGCCCCTGCCCGCGCCCGGCGCCGCCGCCCGGGCCAATCAGCGCGCCGGACGGGGCCCCGCGGGCCAATCAGCGGGCGCTCCGGGCGCGGGGGGCGGGGCCGGGCGCGGGGAGCGGCCGCGGGCCATGTGCGGGCTGCGCGGCCATGGCGGGAGCGGGCGGGGCCCCTGAGGGGAGCGGGGCCGGCACGGCCCGGGGGGCACCGGCACGGCCCCATGGGCACCGCTCGGACACCCCTGCGGGCACCGGGGCCTCGTGCACACCCCGGCAGGGCGCGGGGAGGGGGCAGCGGCACCGCCGCGTTACCCCGGCCGGGCAGCGGGGTGGGGGGCAGAGCACACCGAGAGCCCTGCCCGGGCCTGGGGCCGGGTCACGGAGCTCACAGAGACCCCAGAGCGCCTGCCCAGGACACCTCCCACCCACCAGGACACCTGCCCAGCTCTAGAGCCAGGTCCCAGTGCCTGCCCGTGTGGACCCCTGCCCGGTCCCAGTGCCCGCCCACCCTTTGGGATCCCCACCCAGTCCTGGACCCCAGCCCCAGTACCCACCCTTTGGGACCCCTGCCTGGTCCCAGAGCCAGGTCCCAGTGCCCTCCAGGACCCCCACCCAGTCCTAGTCCCCGCCTGTGGAACCCCCTCATCACCCCAGAACCCTCCCAACGGAGGTGCTGGAACAGTGGGGTTCTGGGGAGAGGGTCAGGGTGGTCAAGGACAGCACCTGGGGCTCCCCCAGTGACCCTAAAGCAGAGAGAAAAGGGAAAAAAATGTATCAAAAGTGAATAAAAAGGAAGCCCAAAGCCCAAGGTCTGATCCCTGTGTGGGGCAGGGAGGGTGAGCTGATGGTGGTTGAGGGGGGTCAAGGTGTGGGGCTGCAGCTCTGGGGGTCCTGGGTGTCGGTGTCTCCATTCTGTGCTTGTGGCACGCCCGTTCTCATCACCCCAAAACCACCACCTCTCATCCTACAGCCACTTCCATGCCCTGCTCTCCACTGGTGTAAACTGGGAAGGGTCCCCTCGCAATCAGGATTGTGCCAAACATCAGCTTTGGGTCAAAATCCTCTGAGCTGCTGTTTGTGAGACTTCAGGATTAACCTGGAACTCCTGGGCCGTGTGACATGAAGGATTTGGGGTCGTGATCCTGGTTTTTGGGTGTTTGACAGAGCTGAGGGAGACGAGGGCTCTCCAAGGTTTCACTTGTGTTCTCTGCCCCGTGAGAGCAGAGGAGGCAGAGCTCGTGCTGGGACCAAAAACCTGTGTGGGATGAGGACATGGAATGGTCCAGGCTGGGAGAGGGAAGGGGCTGAGGAGCTCCAGAAGGGTTGTGAGGGCAACTGGGAGCTCCATCCTGGAGAAGGATGGGGTGGGAGAAGGGAGAGAGTGAAGCAGGAGGATGAGGATGAAGCAGGAGAAGGGAGAGGATGAAGGATGAGGATGAAGCTGGAGGATGAGGATATGGAGTTCAGGGCTGTTCCCACCACAGGATGTGGTCAGTGGGTGGGTGGTAAGAGCCTGGATGGCCCCAGGAGAGGGAAGGGAGTGATGGAACCTCTTGCTCTTCCTCCTCCTCTTCCTCCCCCAGCTGACTGAGCCCCTTTTCTGAGCCATTCACTGACCCCTCTGCAGGTGGGAGCTCAGGCCCTGCCCATCTGCATTTCCCTTTACTCTCAGGTCTGGGAGGTTTTAATGTGAGACCATTTTTTTCCTCTGCTAATTTGTGAGTGAGAAACCTGAGGGTGCTTCTTCACTTTTTGGATTTTGGTCGTTTTCTTCTCAGAGGTGGCAGCAACACTTTTATTTTCTCCTGTGAATGTGATTTTTTTTTTTTTGGCTGGTTCCTCCCCTGTGATAAAACCAGTGTATAAAACATGAAGGATCCAGTTGCTTTTTTTTTTTAAATGATGTCTTAAGTGATGATAGGAATGGGTTTAATGTAACTGTAAGTTAAGTGTTTTCAGTAAGACCACATCTCTGCCTGGCATAAAATGGTTTTGAAAGTGGTGCAGCTGCCGTTTCCTAGAAAGGTTTTCTGAGCAGGCAGAAAAAGCTTCTGAGGGCCAGGAAAATAAAAAAAAAAACCCAACCTGAAACTTCAGCTCTGTTTTATGCAGCAGAAACCTCTGAAATGTGAGGCTGGCAGATCCAGGGTTTAAAAATTGAGGCATCAGTGTCAGGGGTTTTTATTCCTTTGGGGGGGGCGCTGCTCGTCATTTTGGGCTGTGCCCTTTTAAGTCTTCCCACGTGTTTTTTTTTTGTCCCCAAACCCTGCAGTTTGAAGGTTGAGGAGCTCTGGATGGAACAACTGAAATGAATTTTGTTTTGAGAGCTGGGGTTGGGTCGTGGAGAACGTGGAGTCCAAGACTTGTGCAGGGAAGGGAGTTTGGAACCCCCCAGATCCCTTTGTAACACCTCAAAAGCAGCAGCTGGTCCCTTCACAGTCCCCTTTGGGGTGTTTGCCTCGAGGAGCAGAGAATCCCTCCCTGCCAGGCTCGGTTCCCACCCGGAAAAATGCGTGCCCTGGCCTGGGGAGGGGTTTATTTAAAGGGACACTGAGGGCAGGCAGGAGCAGGGAAGGTGACAGCTATAAAAAATCCCAACCAGCAGAGGCGCTTCCCAGAGGTCCTGGTGAGGAGCTTAAGGCCCCTAATCCCGGGATAGAGCCGGGGCCGGAGCTCTGGCGGCTCCTGGATGGTGTTCCCGGGGGCTCCCCGGGCCGGCTGGGTTCTCCCCGGGCGTGGGGGCTCGGGGGCTGACCCTGCTCTGTGTCCCCAGCCGACCTTCCTGGTGGAACTGTCCAGAGTGCTGGCAAACCCTGGCAACAGCCAAGTGGCTCGAGTGGCCGCGGGGCTGCAGATCAAGAACTCCCTGACGTCCAAGGATCCCGACATCAAGGCCCAGTACCAGCAGAGATGGCTCGCCATCGACGCCAACGCCCGCAGGGAGGTCAAGAACTACGTGAGTGCCGGGGCTCTGGGGGGTTCTCTCCCTGTGCAGTGACTTTTCCATCGTTTTTCCATCGTTTTTCCACCTGCAAAGGCTCCCGTCGGACGCTCCCGGTCTGCGCTGGCTCGGGTGCTGCTCCTGGAAGGGTGTTTATTCCGTGCAGGAATTGGGGTGAAATCAGGACAAGGCTCTTCCTCCAGAGGGTGGTTGGGCACTGGAATTCCCCGGGGGAGCCACGGCCCCAGGGCTGCCAGAGCTCAGGGAGTGTTTGGACAGCGCTCTCAGGGGCAGGGCGGGATTTTGGGGTGTCCTGGGCAGGGCCAGGGGTTGGGTGGGTGATCCTTGGGGGGGCTCTCCCAGCCCAGGAGATTCTGGGATTCTGAGAGGAAAAGGGGTGATGGCTTTAAAGTGCAGAATTGATTTGGATGAGATGGAAGGAAGGAGTTTTTCCAATGAGAATGCTGAAACAATGGCACAGGTTGGCCAGAGAAGCTGCCCCTGGATCCCTGGAAGTGTCCAAGACCAGGTTGGACAGGGTTTGGAGCAACCTGGGCTGGTGGAAGGTGTCCCTGCCTGTGGCAGGGGGTGGGAGTGGGTGAATTTTGAGATCTCCCATCCAAACCATTCCATGATTCCATGGCTCCTTCCCCACTGCAGAAGAAAACCTCCTTAGGGAATGTTTTTCCTCCTCTTCCAAGGAACAGCTTCCTGAGGTGTTTTACAATCCCCATCACCATCTTGGAAGCACAATCTGTGCCTGACCACAGAGGCCTAAAAAGTTAAAAAGAGTTTTAGGAGCAGAATATGGTAAAAAATTGTAAGTCCCAGATAGAAAATTAGATGCTTAAATTTGGGGGGTTTGCCTGAGGACCCCCTGAGCTCTTTGGGGGTTGAAGCTCAGGTCTTGCAGTGGCAGAAGTGGTGGCTCAGTGGTTGTTTTGGCTGATGGGAGGAAAATGATGCTTGGATGTGAGCAGTGTGATCCCCTTGTTTTTTTAAAGAGAGAATTGTTGAAGAATACCCAAAAAAATCACTCTAACTGATTGCAACATGAAAGAAAATCACTCATCTGGATGATTCTGTAGATTATTTTGGCATAAAAACAATTGGTGTTTGGGCAGGGATTTAACCCCCAATTTATGTTTTGTGAATTTGCTCTGTAATAATTTTAGTAATAATAACAACAACAACAACAATTTCCCGTTATAAATTTTAACTAATAATAATAATTTTGCTTTGTAGTGATTTTTAAATAATAATGTGGTGGTGATGACAGTAATTTTTGCTCTGTAGTGATTTCTCTGTCTGGGTGGGGAGGGACTTTGGAGCCCTTGCTGTGCTGTGGCACAGGGACCGTTCCCAGAGCTAAAGGATGCGTTGGAATCTCAGCCTCACTGTGTGTTCATCTCCAGCCTCCCTTCCCCGTGCTCGCTGCTTGCAGCAGGGAGCAGGAATTCGGGACCCTGAACCCTTTCCCTGCCCCGCTCCAGGTGCTGCAGACCCTGGGAACAGAGACCTACCGGCCCAGCTCCGCCTCCCAGTGCGTGGCTGGGATCGCCTGCGCAGAGATCCCCATGAACCAGTGGCCAGAGCTCATCCCCCAGCTGGTGGCCAACGTCACCAACCAGCACAGCACGGAGCACATGAAGGAGTCCACGCTGGAGGCCATCGGGTACATCTGCCAGGACATCGTGAGTGCATTTCTGCTGCTGGGGGGGAGGGTTTTGCTCCCAGGGTCTCCCCAGAACCTCTTCTCTCTCCCTCCTGTGGTTGGGATCGAAGCTGTGTCAGGGATGGATTTTGAGAAGGGTTCTTTCCCCAGAGGGTGGTTGGACACTGGAACTCCCCGGGGTTTGGTCACAGCCCCAAGGCTGCCAGAGCTCAGGGAACGTTTGGACAATACTCTGAGGGGCAGGGTGGGATTTTGGGATGTCCTGTGCTGAGGCCAGGGGTTGGGCTGGATGGTCCTCATGGATCCCTTCCAGCTCAGGGTGCTCCATGATTCTCTGACATGACAGTCCTGGAGGGCTTTCCCAGCCTTAAACACCCCACAACTCCATAGCCAGGAGCTGTGGTTGGTGCTTCCCTGTGCTGCTTGTTCCTAATCCTGCTGCCAGAACTGTGGGAGTGAACCCAGGGCTGGTGCCTGGAAGGCCTGACCTGCTTTCCCAGCCCGAATCCAGGCCGTGTTTCCTGAAGGGAAGGTTTAAAGTCCCCATGTCCCTGCGGTCACACGAGGCTGGGGGAGAACTCCGGCTCAGCATCCAAATGTTGGGTAAAACAGGGATAAAAAACAGGGATCGGTGTTTGGTGCCTTTCTGGTTTGGCAGAACCTGACCCTTCGTGTTGGTGGGGGAGCCCCTTTGCTGTTGATTCAGGAATTTTTGGGACAGGGGCAGGAATGTTGAGCTCTTGGAGGCACCTCCTGCGAAACCTCCGGAGGGTTTCTCCAGGGTTTGCAGAACCTGGTGGGAAAACTCGGCTGGAAAATGGGATTTGCAGCTGCTCTTTTGGTGCCACTGAATGTCCTGGAGAACGTGTGTCCCTGCTGGAGTCTCTCTGGAGTGGGGCAGGAAGGGAAATGTTGCTTTGGGGCTTTTGTTTGGCTTCGAGGGGTTGGTTTCACTGGGGAGAGAAGTGAAATGAGAGAGGAAATCTGGTTGTGATGAGTCCCTGCAACTCTGGAGGGCCTGTTCCTTGGGATTTCTGGGTGGAATGGATCACCAACCTCCGGGTTTTTGGGTGCCCTGCCTTGCTGGTTGGGTATTTTCCACCTCCAATTTATTTTACAAGATCCCCCCTTTAAAGTTTTATAGTTTTGTGACGGTAGTTTGGGAATCTTAGATTTTTCAGCTGGATAAATAAATTCTGATGTAGCAATTCATCCAGCTCCTTGTGGGTCCTTCAGACTTGATTTTGCCATGGAGAAAAATGAATCTTTGGTGTGTATTCACAGCTTTATTCTTTAAGCCTTGAGTGTTTAACAGTGATTTAACAGTTCCCTGCCCTTGCTGCTGCTCCAGGCAGTGCATTTTTTGCTGTTACATCTTAAAAAATATTGGCAAATTTACCAGTAGAAGTAGAGCTCTGCCCAGTCCATAAATTAGTTGGAAATCAGTTGGTTTTTAACATTTTGGGTGAGTGAAGTCAAGTCCTGGAGCTTGTTGGCTTGTGTTTGATACAGTGGGATTTATTTGGTGTTTATGACTTGAATTCGTGGAGGTTTTGTGCTCAGCTCAGCCTCCTTCCCATCCCAAAAGCTGCAAAGGTGTTCTGGGGCAGCAATTCCTTGGATTTCCCAGCGAGCAAAATGTCCTAAACCTTGTAGATACCAGCACTGAGCTCAGAGGGCACTTAATATATTGGAAAAAAAAAAAGCTGTTTGGGTGGTAAAGAACTGCCTGGAAACTTCCTGCAGGATCCAGAGCAGCTCCAGGACAAATCCAACGAGATCCTGACAGCCATCATCCAGGGAATGAGGAAGGAAGAGCCCAGCAACAACGTGAAGCTGGCGGCTACCAACGCACTCCTGAACTCTTTGGAATTCACCAAAGCAAACTTTGACAAAGAGGTGAGCAGGGAAATCCAGCCCTGGAAAAATCCCGGGGCTCGGATCCACGGTCTGTGAGGAGGAGTCGTGCACCACGCTGAGTTTTGATGGATAATCCTGTGCAGACTGAGACTTGGATTCACCTCGGAAACCCCCCCAGTCCCAAAATCCCGTGGAATTCAGTGCCAAGGAAGCTTTGGGGGGTTTTTTGGGAGGTGTGGTGGTGGGGGTGAGGTTGAACTGACCTTAGAGCTGCAGCCTGTTGGGTGCTCTGCTTCCTGAGGCAGGACCAGCTTGGATCAGCACTTCCATTCAAGTGCTGTGGCTCCAATCCAGGTTTCACTTGGCCTCTGGAAATGGCTGGGGGAGGAAAAGGCCTCGGGATGAGCCTCTCTGCAGAAGAGCCAAACCTATTGATTTTGCCTTTTCCTCCTCAGCTCAAGTCTTATCCCTTAGTTCTCTGCCAGGGACAGCAGGGGGAAGGTGGGATTAATGTTCAACCTCCAGCTTAGAGGGGCTTTTAATGGAAACTCTCCCTAAAATCCTCGGGGTTGGGGGGGTGTTGATGGGGATCAGCTGAACCTTCCAGAACTGGGGATGGGAGGTGCAGGATCCACTCAGGCTCCCTTTCTGTGGGCTCAGCCCTGTTAAATAACCTGTCAAATAATAATAATAATAAATAAATCTGTTCCTTCCTGCCAAAAAGTGGGAATCCAGGTGCTGCCCCCCCCCACAGAAATTGATGTCCTGACTGGAGTTTTCTGGAAGAAACTGCTGAAATAGGGAACAGCAGGGTTTATTTTGGTGGGTTTTTTTTTTTGCTTCTTTCCCTGAAAAGCTGAGTCTTTGTTTTGCTTTTTATTTTAAGGCAGCCTGTTGAACCCTTGAGGAGGAAAGGTTGGGATTCCCCCTCGGGGGAAGAAATGGTTTAAAATAGTGCAGTGAGTGCCCTGTGCTGTCCCTGCATCTTCAGAAGTGCTGCAGGAGGGACTGGGCCAGCCCAGCCTCAAACCCAGCCTCCCCAGGAAGCCTCCAGTGCTTTTGTAAGACACTCCTAATGTTCTTTTTGCTTTCTTTCCTCCAGTCTGAAAGGCACTTTATTATGCAAGTAGTCTGTGAAGCAACACAGTGTCCAGATACAAGGGTGAGTGAATTCAGGGCTTGCTTTGCCCCTGCACCTTCTTGGGGCAGCTGGGGGGAACCTCTGACACCCAAACCCTCCTAAAATAACCACAATTGTGTTAAATAACCCCTTTTTTTTTACCCCAAAGGTACGAGTGGCTGCCTTACAGAATCTGGTGAAGATAATGTCCCTTTATTATCAGTATATGGAGACTTACATGGGGCCTGCTCTGTTTGCTGTGAGTATTCAGGTTTCTCATAGTTGTGTTTTTGTCTCTCCTATTTATTTGTATTTTTGTTTCTCCTATTTCTATTTCTCATATTTATTTGTATCTGTATTTCTCATATATTTGTATTTGGTTTTCACGTGTTTGTAATTTATATTTCTCACATTTACTTGTGGTTCTAATTCTCATATCCGTCTCCCTCACAGTTACTTCTGATCTTCCTTTACTCATATTTATATTTCCCATACCTATTTCTATGGTGTTCTTTTACTTGTATTTATATTTCTCACATTTATTTCTCTGATCTTCCTCTCCTCCTTTATCCTAATCTTTTACAAAACTTTCCTTGTATCCCTGATTTTCCTGTGCCTGGATGCTGGGAATCCCTCTCCCCATAAAATCCCCCTGACCAGCAGCAGGACTCTCAGACCCAGGGCTCCAAAAGCTGGGACAATGCTGATTCTGTCCGTGCTCCTCAGCCCTCCCAGGGGGCTCAGAGCTGATAAAATAATCCTATTTGGAAGTTCCAAGAACAATAACTCCAATGTGGCATCCGATTTCAGCCAGGCTGGGATCTCCTGCCGACAGGGACGTGGATTCCAGGAGAAACAACTTGTTAAAGTGTCCCTTTTTTTGTTTGTTTGTTTGGTTTTTTCCTGTTTCCAAGATAACTATTGAAGCAATGAAGAGTGACATAGATGAGGTGGCTCTGCAGGGAATCGAGTTCTGGTCCAACGTGTGTGACGAGGAGATGGATTTGGCCATCGAGGCCTCGGAGGTGGGAGCGCTGGGAATGATGCTTGGATCCAGTGGGAACACCCCGAGCCTCCCAGGCTGGGGCTGCTGCTGAAACAGCTCAGGGAACAGCAGCATTTTGCTCCTTTTCCCCTTGAAAACCTACCTTGAAAACCTAATCACACAGTCACGGAATGGTTTGGGTTGGAAGGACCTTAAAATTCCAGTTTCATGCCCTGCCGTGGGCAGGAACACCTTCCACTGGTCCAGGCTGCTCCAAACCCCGTCCAGCCTGGCCTTGGACACTTCCAGGGATCCAAAAATTCTCTGGGCAACCTGTGCCAGGGCCTGCCCACCCTCACAGGGAGGGATTGGGGGTTTTTTTAAGTGGAGCTCAGCTCTGCCCCTTTCCCTTCCTAGGCCAGCTTAGGCTGAGCTGCCTGTTCAGGACAGGAAAATCCCTCCCAGGGAATTGGGATGGAGGTTCTGTGACAGGTCTGGCTGTGCCACTCAAGGGCTGGGGCTCTGCCAGGCAGGTACCTGATCCCTTGTTAGCATTCCAGCTCCAGGGTTAACCTAGATGTGCACTAAGCATGTACTCCAGGCCAGGGAATTCTCAGATCACGGAGCTGGTGCTCTTCAGGAGTGTTTGGAGTCGTTGCATTTATAAATCCCAAGGAATCCAGAGCGATTCTTCAATTACCTACTGTTTTGGGGGACTCTGTACCCTTAAATTTTGGGGTCTGTCGCAGACCTGAGGGGCTCAGTCCTGCCCCAGCCCGCAGAAGGGTTGATCATGTTCCACATAATCCGTTATTTGTCAGTTAAATATAAAACTACGGGTGGAATAAAAGTAATTATCCCTTGGAAGGGCCGGGGCTGGGTTTGGGGTGTTGTTCTGCATGCAGATGCTGTTTGCATAAATGAGCTGCAGAGATCAGTAACAGCTGAAAAACTTTGAAGGGCTGGAGATGAATCATTTCCATCTTTAAAAACAGCTAAATATATATTTATGTTGAATGCCCACCCCCCAAAAAAAAGAAAAAGAGGCAAGGAGAAAAGGACAGGCAGCAGCACGTGGGGTTGGGTGCTTTGCTGAGCACCTTTTGCTCCTCCACCTCGGGGGCACCTCCTTAATTAGACCTGGGAACTGAAAATAGGGGTAATTGTGGGTTGTGCATGGAATGGGAAATTCAGCCTGGGTGTTTGAGTGTTTAACTGGGTGCAGGGTGTCCTTGAGCTTCCTGGCTTTGGATTTGTGTGGGAGGAAAGCATGGAAAGGGAATTTGGGGTTAATAATAATAATATAATAATAATAATTTCTATTGTTTATTAATAATTTCTATTGTCTAATAATAATTATATTTTCTATATTAAACTATTAATGTTATGGATATATTAGTATTTGTGGTATAATGTACAGTATCTATTTCAGTATGATATGTAGTAACACGATGTATAATATAATGTAATCATTATATAATGTACAATATATATAATATAATGTATATTATGTCTAATAGGAGGTATAATGTTCTATTACTGTCATAGATTATGATACATTGTGATATATATTTTATGTATATATTTTTTATATATATAATATATATTACATAACAACTTTTAAAGGGAGTTTATAATGAATTCAGCCTCTTTAGCCACTGAAAACCCCCTTTTTTACCCCATTTTTTTCCAGGCAGCAGAACAAGGGAGGCCTCCAGAGCACACCAGCAAGTTCTATGCCAAGGGGGCCCTGCAGTATTTGGTCCCAATTCTGACACAGACCTTGACCAAGCAGGTGAGTTGGGAATCCTGGTGGGATCAGGGTGCTCCTGCCTGCCCTGGGAAGGGGTTCTGGCTCCCAGAGGTGCTCCAGGTGGTGGCAGTGCCTCGGTCTGTGATGAGTTTTCATGCACCACTCTGAGCAAATGATGCATCAGTTTTGGGGCTGAGACTGTGGAACTGCCTCCAGCAGCTTTTCCTCCCCCCTGCTCAATTCTCTTCACCCCCCTCCCTGCATTTATGATTTCTGAAGAGCTCTGCTAATTCCCTGTATTCCTAAGGAAATATTTGTGAGATTGAAGCCACTGTTACACATTCTGAGATCCAGTTCCTGGAATTTTGAGCCTGAAATGCGAGGCCCATGTTTATTTAGTGCCCATTAAACACTTCCCAGGGACTTGTTTTGGGGCTGTGCTTCCCAGGCTAATCAAAACTAATGGAATTGCTGCAGCAGGTCTAATTAGAAAAAATAAAACTGTTAATTAAGCTGTACGGGACAGAGTTCATTTGGCTGGGAAAAGTGCTCCGAGTGGATCCAGGGAATTGTTTCCCTGCTTGTTTTTTTATCTTGGAGTTAAATTGCAGGAGGTTCTCAAGTGCTTGTTAAACAAAACAGGTGAGAGAATCCCAGGCTGAGCTTTAAAGGGTTTAAGAACCTGGGCTGAGTGAGGGAAGGAGCTGTTTTAACTGGAGCAGGAATTCTGCTTTGCACATTCAGGGAAAGCCAGAAGGATATCACCCATTTTTGGAGGTTTGTAGAGCCCAAAATACCTGGATTATTTGGAGCAGGAATTCTGCTTTGAACATCCTCTAAATTCAGGGAAAATCAGAAGGATGTCACCTGTTTTTGGAAACTTGTAGGGCTAAAAATCTAAGGGTTAATTGGAGCAGGAATTCTGGTTTGCACATCCTCTTAATTCAGGGAAAACCAGAAGGATATCACCCGTTTTTGCATGTTTGTAGTGCCAGAAATACCTGGGTTATTTGGAGCAGGAATTCTACTCTGAACATGCTTTAATTTAAGGAGAATTAGAAGGACATCACCTGCCTTTGGAGGCTTGCAGGGCCAGAAATCCCTAGGGATCACTCCGGGATGGATGATTCAGATCCAAGGGGTAAAATCTCCGCCCGGGTGAGAGGGAGGGAGTTGTGGAAGTGGGTGAGGCCGCTCCAGGTGTGCCAGCAGAGCTTTGCTCCAGGCTGGGGAGGTGCAGGGGGTGTGAGTGACTCCTCTGGGGGACTGGGGTTGATGGAAATCCGACCCTAACCCCGGGTGAACCCCGCGGGTGCTGAGGGACGTTCCCGGCGCCGTTCCAGGACGAGAACGACGATGACGACGACTGGAACCCCTGCAAGGCAGCTGGGGTGTGCCTGATGCTGCTGGCCACCTGCTGTGAGGACGACATCGTCCCCCACGTGCTGCCCTTCATCAAGGAGCACATCAAGAATCCCGACTGGAGGTACCGGGACGCGGCCGTGATGGCCTTCGGATGCATCCTGGAAGGGCCGGAGCCCAACCAACTCAAACCTTTAGTAATACAGGTGAGAACTGGGGGGCTCTGGAGGGCTTAAAAACCCCTGGGTTGGTTGGAGGAGGAATTCTGGTCGGCACGTGGTCTTAATTTGAGGAAAACCAGAGGGATATCACCTGGGTTTGGAGGTTTGTGGAGCCAGAAGTCCATGGGTTGATTTAACGTCGGGTGTAGGAGCTGCCTTCAGTTTGTAAACACTGTGGAAAAACTGTCCCTGCTACAGGTGGGATGGAAAGCAAAATGGAACAAGTGTTTGGAAAAGGAATGTTGGGATTCAGCCTTTTTTTGGGAGGCTCAAGGAGGAGATGGGACACCTTGTGCCCCATCCCCTACACCTGGCTCTGCAGTGATTCCAGAGCTAACTGGGCAGCAGCAGAGCTTTATCCTGATGCAGATCCACCCCCAGAGGCATCTCTGCTGCTCCACGTCCCTCCCTGCCTGCAGAGGGAGCTGAGAGTGGAGCTGAGTGGAGAGGGGGATTTGCTCCCGAAGGGCATCTCTGACCCTGCCTCCTGAGAGAGCAGAGCTGAGCTCTGAGCTGTCACAGATGACAGGGGGTGGGGGAGGCAGCTGGGTTGGCTCGAGCGGTTCAGACACTGCTGAACCCCTGCATTTTGCACCCCCCCTGACCTGGCTGCTCCTGGCTGGTGTTTTGCAGGCCATGCCCACGTTGATAGAGCTGATGAAGGACCCCAGTGTGGTGGTGAGGGACACGACGGCCTGGACGGTGGGGCGGATCTGTGAGATGCTGCCCGAGGCCGCCATCAACGACATCTACCTGGCCCCGCTGCTGCAGTGCCTCATGGAGGGGCTGAGCGCAGAGCCCAGGGTGGCCACCAACGTCTGCTGGGTGAGGAACCCCCTGGGAGCTCCAGGGAACCCAGCCCAGCCTGGGAATGCTGCTCCCAAGGGATTGGGATGGCAGGGAGTGCAGGGGGTGGGGTCCGGCTGCTCCCCCGTGTCCTCCCGTGGGGTTTGGGCACTTCCAGGGTTGTTCTGGGGCCTCAGTCCATGAAGGAATTTTCCCTGATGGCCAACCTGAGCCTCCCCTGCAGGAACAGGAGATTTCCTCTTGTCCTGTTGCTTGTTACTGGGAGAAGAGTCCGACCCCCACCTGATCCCCCACTCCTGTCAGGGAATTATTGCAATTTATGTGGATACAAATCAAGAGATACAGAGAGGAATACACACACTTATGTTTTCCTTATATTTTTATGTATTTCCCCCATATTTCTCTTCATTTTCCCTGTATTTTTTTTTAATTTCTTCCCCCCCTCTTATTTCTCCCCCCATTCATTTTTTTCCCCTCATTCATTTCTCCCCCCCCTTTTACTTCTCCCTTTTTATTTCTTCCCCCATTTCTTTTCATATTTCTCTATATTTTCCCATCTTATTTTCCCCACATTTTTCCACACACACTTTAAAAGGATTTCAGGCTGATTCATGACTTGCTCACCCAACACACACCGTGGTTGACACTCAAATTATCTCAGGTCTTCTGTGGCTGTGGGGAAAAAATTAAGGAACAAATGGATTTTAAGGTGAAAAACTATAATATTCACTGAGTGTGGAAGTGCCTTCAGTGGAAACTCCCTGGTAACGTAAGGGCTGTTGGGAAAAGGGATTTAGGGGTTTTTTTGGGGGGGAGCCAGTTTAAGGAAAAGGTGCAAAACCTCGTTCCCCATCACCACCACTTGGATCTGTGGTGATTCCAGAACTAATCTGGGGAGCAGGACCCACTCCCAGAGGTGCCTCTGCTGCTCCATGTCCCTCCCTGCCCTCCGAGGTTGCTGCTGGAGTAGAACTGAGTGGAGAGGAGGATTTGCATGTCAAAACAAGCTTTAGAAGTGACAGGAGCTGTTCTTTCCCTCTGCCAGAGGTTTAAAGGCTTTCTGTGGCTCCTGGCACGAGTCCCACGGAGCTGTGGCTTTTTGTCTGCTCTGGGTGATGATTGTGATGTGTTTTCTAAATTAAAATGAAAATCAGGAAGCTTTCAGCTCCTCTCACCCACCTGCCTCAGCACAGTTGCTCTGCAGTTGTTAATCCTGGTGGGGTTTTTTTGGAGTTTTGGGTTTATTTTTTTATTCTTGCAATGGGAACTGATGGAATGTGTGCTCCTGGACCAGCGAGGCCAAACCCAGGGGAAATAAAATCCACATTTTTGGTGTGTTCCAGGCCTTCTCCAGCCTTGCTGAAGCTGCCTATGAAGCTGCAGATGTGGCTGATGATCAGGAAGAACCAGCAACCTACTGCTTGTCCTCCTCCTTTGAGCTGATAGTGCAGAAGCTCCTGGAGACTGCAGACAGGTACTGGGCACCTCTGCCAAGGGGCCTATGTGATTTGTTTCCTCCTGCAGGCTCCTGCTCTTCCAGGCTCTGTGCCTGATCAGAGCTGGGCACTTTGGCATCCCAGGGAGCAGAGAATGCAATCCCAGGAAAAGCAGCTCTTCCCACTGGATCATTTTGCAGCATTTTGCCCCTATCTGCTCTTGGGAAGTCTGGGGGGTTCCCCCAAGAGGGTCCCTTCCCTGTGTTACTTCAGATCTCCCCTGTTTGACTTCTAATCTCTTCTGGGTTTACTCGAAATCTCTCTTTTTTTATCTTGAGGCTCTTATTTTACCTTGAGTCTCTCCCATTTTACTTTGAATCTCTCCTGTTTTGCTTTGAACCTCTCCTCTGTTTTACCTTGAATCTCTCTGTTTTTCTTTGAACCTCCTGTTTTCCTTTGAATCTGAGTTTTAAGTGACACTTTCAGACCCAGCCAGGTTGGCTGCAGGTGCCACTGAATAACCAAGGCATTTCAGCAGGGCACAAGCAGAAATCCCTGTTTATTGCCCATTTCCCTGCCTGTTCCACTCCATCCCTTTCCCCCCCTGCCCCCTCTCTGGGGCCTTTGAGGCTTTTCCTCTCCCTCTCCTCCTTCCCAGCGACTGAAAATCATTAATAGAGAATGGGGTGGGGGGGGAAACCACACCAAACTGTGCTAAAAGTGGCTTCATAAATTTCCTTTGCTTTCAAGGCTCGGAGTGCAGGGATGCAAGTGCTGCTTGTCACAGCACTGAAGTGTAGCTGTTACTGGTTTACTAAAATTAAAGAAAAAAAAAAGCCTGTTTCTAAGCAAGGCTGAGCACTGGGAGCTGCAAATTATCCCTTCTGTTCCAGACCTGATGGACACCAGAATAACTTGAGGAGTTCTGCCTATGAATCCCTGATGGAAATAGTGAAGAACAGTGCCAAGGACTGTTACCCTGCTGTCCAAAAAACGACCCTGGTCATCATGGAGCGGCTCCAGCAAGTGCTGCAGATGGAGGTGGGTGAATCCCAACTGAAACTCCCCCCTTACAGAGCTGCTGCCCCATCCCTGGGAGTGTCCAAGGCCAGGTTGGACGGGGCTGGTGGAAGGTGGGGCTGGATGGGATTTGAGATCCTGGGATTCTATCTTAAGCTCCTGCACAGTCTCTCCTGTCTTAAATCTGAAAAAAAAAAGAAAAAAAAAAAAAAAAAAACACCAACCCAAATATTTAAACACAATCTGGACCTGCTGGTGTTGTCAGAAGCCAGTGCAGCCTCTCTTCTCCTGTGTTCCAGTCCCACATCCAGAGCACCTCGGACAGGATCCAATTCAACGACCTCCAGTCCCTTCTCTGCGCGACCCTCCAGGTGAGAGCCCCGCGGGTTTGGGGGGTTTTTATGGGAATGGGGTGGCTTTAGGGACGTTTCTGTGCCCCTGAGGATCCAGGCTCGGGGCCTGTTGATCAGATCTGAATGAGGAAAGTGGATTTGTGTCCCAGCTGACACGTGGGAGGTGAGACAAGGATCAGAAGCCTTGAGTCGCACTCTAGTGACAGAATTTAGGGCAATTTGAGTCAGGAACACTGTGGGCAGCCTGGTAAAGGTGGGATAAAGGATTGTGTGTGCTGTCAGCTTGGCTCCTGTGTTGGCTACAGCCTGAACAACCCCTTTTTGCTTGGCACAGGCCAAAAAAAAAACCTCCAGCATGGCTTGAATTCCTTCATCTGCCTCCTGTGGTTGGTGTTCTTCTTTCAAATGGCTCTAATTAAAAGGCACTGAGAGGCCTTGAAATGAAACATCTGGTAAATGAGCAGTGTGACTGGGAGCAGCAGTGCAGTGCAGTTCCTTGGTTACTCCTACAAATCCTGCTGAAAACACCTATTTTTTTTTTTTTTCCCCAAAATCAGCTCAGGAGATTGATCAGAGCACCCTGTTGGAGTCTGTGGTGTTTGTCTCCAGGCTGATGTGAGGAACCATTCATTTGCTCACTCAAAAGCCTTATGGTTGCTTTTCACTCCCCAGATTTTAGGGTAATTTTAAAAGGAATGGTTAGGTGGGAATAATCTGTCCTTAAGCTGGGCTTTAATGGGGAGACTCAGTGTCTGGAATCTCCTTGTGGTACTCGCTGATCTCTCCCAGCACAGCTTGGTTTGCCCCTGGGGAGTGGAAGAGAAGTGGAATTAAACTGCCAGTTTTAATTGATAAACGTGTGTTCCTTCATTATCCCCAAATCTGAACCTGAAGCATTTCCTCAGTTGCAGCAGATACTGAAATACCACTGAGTAAAACTCAGCAGAGGGGCTTTTTCCACTGTTGAATGGTCACGTGCCCTGTTTTGGTACAGAGTTTTATTCTGCTATAAATGCATTTGTTAATAGTTAAAAGGAACGAGCAAATCCCATCCCTGGAGGTGTCCAAGGCCAGGTTGGGCAGGGCTTGGAGCCACCTGGGCTAGTGGAAGGCTGGAATTTGATGATCTCCACGGTCCCTTCCAACCCAAACCACCCCGTGATTCTGTAAATCAAGACTTAATCATTTAAACAGCCCAAGTCCCTCTCTTTGGAGTGAAGAATCAGCCTTCAAATAATAATTATTATAAAGAATTGGTCCTTCTCTTCCCATAAAAAGTGTTCTATTTCAGCAACCAGCGTTTCTAAAGCTTTCATTCTGTGCTTTGGAAGCGAAACTGTTGGGCCCTCATGTTGCTGTGGGCAGAAAAAGGGACCCTGCTTGGTTTTTTTTTGATAGGATCAGATTTGGGCTGGTCACATTTAATTCCAGCTTACAGATGCAAAGCTGGGAGAACAGCCTATGCAGCAGGAAAGGTAAATTCAGCTTGTTCTGAGGCTGCAAAACTGAATGGAGCGAGATGAAAAAGGGACTTTGCGGCGATCAAGCGGATTTTTGGCAGCGGTGGGGAGTTCAAACAGCAGCTCCCTGTCTGGGAAAGGGGTGGAGGGGGGATGCTGGAAAAGCTCCCTGCAGGCTGAGAGGGCTGGCAGCAGTGGTGTGTGTGTCCCTGTGCCCGCAGAACGTGCTGAGGAAGGTGCAGCACCAGGATGCCCTGCAGATCTCGGACGTGGTCATGGCCTCGCTGCTGAGGATGTTCCAGAGCACGGCGGGCTCGGGGGGAGTGCAGGAGGACGCCCTGATGGCCGTCAGCACCCTGGTGGAAGGTCAGCACTGGCCTGGGAGGAGGCAGGGGCTGGGACAGGGTGGGTTTGGATCCCACTCTTTTGGTTTGTGTGAGGCAAAAATGGCATTAGTGGTGTCGTGTGACCACCTTGGGACAGAGAAGCTGTGGCTGCCCTGTCCCTGGCAGTGTCCAAGGGACTTGGAGCAGCCTGGGATAGTGGAATGTGTCTCTGAGAGTAGAACTGGATGATCCTGAAGGTCCCTTCCAAGCCATCCTGTGTTCCATGATCTCACCACCTCTGAGCCTGGCTGGTTGTTCCAGTCTGGTCCCTGCAGGAATGGTTTGGTTTCACTTTTTATAAAGTTGCCACAGAGCAAATTTTGCCAGAAAAGCTCCCCCCAAATTAGTGCTGCTCTGTCCAGTTCCCATCCCAAGGGAACCTGTTCCCTTGGAGCAGCTCCAGGGCAGATGGAACGTTACCTGAGTGATTCACCCTCCCTGGTGACTCAGGGCTGTTCTGGCAGTGGATTTACAGCTCTTGTAAATCAGGGTGGCAAAAATCAGCCTTGGAAAGGGTGAAGGGAAATTCCATTGGGGTTCTGGGATTCCAGGCAGCTCGAGCCTCCTGGTGCAGGTGTAGAAAGGTGGTGGCTGTGGCATCACCTGGAGCTCCAGGAGCTGACGAAGGAATGTGGAAGTTGAGGTGCTGCTGAAAATATTGGGTGCCACCTCCTTGCCTTGGCCCCTCCAACCTCTCCCTCTGAAGGTCTCCACATCCTTCCTGAGCTCAGGAGGGGGTGGCTTATCTCCAAAAATCTGCAGGGAATTTTGGCTCTTGGGAATCTCATTCCCTGTGTGTTGCCCAGGGCAGAATTGATTTCCACTGGCTTTGGGTGGGATGCAGTGCTGGGCTTCTGACTTGTTGAACCCCAGCAAAACAGGGTTCCAGTCACCAGTGGGGATTTTCTTTCTAACTGGAACGTTTTCCATGCACAGTCTTAGGTGGAGAGTTCCTGAAGTACATGGATGCCTTCAAACCCTTCCTTGGCATTGGCCTGAAGAACTATGCCGAGTACCAGGTAGAGATCCAAGAACTTGCTCCCTCTGCCCACAGAACCTCTGGCTGCCCCTTCCCTGGAAGTGTCCAAGGCCAGGCTGGAGCAACCTGGGATGGTGGGAGGTGTCCCTGCCCATGGCAGGGGTTGGAATGTGATGATCTTTAAGGTCCTTCCAGCCCAAACCAGTCCAGTTCTGTGCATAAATCTGGACTTAATGCAGCAGAAGCCTCCAGGGCCTTGGCACTGCGCATTTGTTGGCCTGGGTGTGATTTCCCATTGGAATGTCGAGTCCTGGTGCCCTCCATGGGGTGGGTGCTGAGACACAATGGGGTTGGGTTTGTTCAGACCAAACCCCTGTCACTCCCTGGATCTCAGCTCTGGAATATCCACGGTTAAGGGAGCAGGGAGCGTTCAGGGGCCCCTCAGCTGCTCTCAGGGTCGTTATTCCCCGAGGTTTAATTAACCTCTCGCCACTCCAGAGCGCTGGAAGGGGCTGGATGCGGGAGGCTGGAGCTCTGACTCACGGTGGGGGTGTTGCTGTGCTATTTGCAGGTCTGTCTGTCTGCAGTGGGCCTGGTCGGGGACTTGTGCAGAGCCCTGCAGTCCAACATCCTGCCTTTCTGCGACGAGGTTATGCAGCTGCTCCTGGAGAACTTGGGGGTGAGTGTTTCCCTCCTCATTAGTAACAGTTGGCTGCACACTCAGAGGGAGGTGGGAGGTGGGAGAAGAAGCACAAGTGTTGGGAATGCTCGGATCATCTCGTGTTTGACAACTATCTTGCTTACTATTTGAACGGGATCCAAACTTATTGGGGGCAAGGATTTGCATTTGGAGTAAATATCTGCACTTGTGGGCTCCATCCCCCTCCCAGAGGGAGCGAGAACTGAGCGTGGCCCTGCTGGAATCTCTTCCAGAATGAAAATGTCCATAGGTCTGTGAAGCCCCAGATCCTCTCGGTGTTTGGGGACATCGCCCTGGCCATCGGAGGGGAGTTCAAGAAGTACCTGGACGTGGTGCTGAACACCCTCCAGCAGGCATCCCAGGCACAGGTGGACAAGGTGAGGTGTGCCCAGCCCAGCCAGGGGCTGTGCATGTCCCCAGGGCATTCCCAGGGTCTCATTCCCGTTCCTGTGGCCCTTTGCAGTCCGACTATGACATGGTGGATTACCTGAACGAGCTGAGGGAGGGCTGCCTGGAAGCCTACACTGGGATCATCCAGGGACTGAAGGGAGACCAGGAGAACGTGCATCGTGAGTACCCTCAGCTGGGTGGGGTCAGCTCTGCTGGGATCACAGGAATTAAAAGCTTGGAAAAGATCCTGAAGATGGAGTCCAGCTGCCAGCCCAGCACGGCTGTGTCACCTCCAACCCGTGTCCCCAGGGGCCACATCCACACCTGCTTTGAATGCTCCAGGGATGTGACTCCACCACTGTCCTGTGCCAGTGCTTTACAACCCTTCCCATGAAGAGGTTTTTCCCAAATGTCCCATCTGAACCTCCCCTGCTGCAACTTGAGGCCGTTTCCTCTTGTCCTGTCCCTTGTCCTGGGAGCAGAGCCCGACCTGGCTCCAGCCTCCTTCCAGGGAGGAGTCAGGTCCTCCCTGAGCACCTTTTCTCCATGGTTATCACATCCATGGGAAGATCCCTGTTCATTCCCTCCCCTGTGGGAGTGAACACTCTGCTGCCACGGGCAGGGAATGTGTTCAGAGCCTTTCACTGTGGTGCCTCTGGCAGCATTTCCCCTCCCTGCCAGAGAAGCTCTTTTGGGTCAGATTCTGCCTGTTTTGGGACTGCTGGAGTCCCTAGAAGTCCTGTCCCTCTGTCCCTGTGCCCCCCTGCTCAGACAGAGCCTTTCCCTTGCAGCTGATGTGATGCTGGTGCAGCCCAGAGTAGAATTTATCCTGTCCTACATCGACCACATCGCTGGGGACGAGGATCACACGGATGGAGTGGTGGCCTGTGCTGCTGGGCTCATAGGGTAAGGCCTCCCCACCCCAATTCCAGCAGGGACACACCCAGAAACCCTGGAATCTGCCTCTTCTGCCTGTCTCAAGTATTTAACATCAGTTAAATGGGGGTTTACAGCAGTGCTGGGTGTTTTAACTCAGGGTGGGAAGGGGTTGCACAGGTGGAAACCAGGAGGTGGAAGTGAAGGTTGCTGCAGGAATTCCAGATTTAGAATTTTTTCAGGGTGTTTTAGTCCTTCCTGCTGAATTTAGGGCAGATCAGCCCTCGGCCAGGAGGTTGAACGTCCCTTTTAGTCGCAGCCCTGGCATCAGTGACCATCTGCAGCGTTTTCCAAAAGGATCTGTGAGTCATAACTCTCTGTGCTGGCACAGCTGTTTGTGGTGCTCAGAGCCTCTCTCTCTCTCCCTCTTTCCAGGGATTTGTGTACAGCATTTGGGAAAGATGTTCTGAAATTAGTAGAAGCCAGACCCATGATCCATGAACTGCTAACGGAAGGGAGGAGATCCAAGACGAACAAAACAAAAACTCTCGCTACCTGGGCGACTAAAGAGCTGAGAAAACTGAAGAATCAAGCTTGGTAAGGGCTCCCTCCCACTTCCTCCATTCCCCAGGAGGTTGCTCCTCGTTTGGTTTTGCTCTGAACAAGCCCGGTTTGGGGGTTGGTTTGTGGGGACAAATCCAGGGGGAGGGACGTGGTGAGCTTGCACCAGGCTGGAGGGATGAGGGGGTGAGACATGGAATCATGGAATGCTTTGGGTCGGAAGGGACCTTAAAGCTCATCCACTTCCACCCCCAGGGACGCTTTCCACTGTCCCAGGTTGCTCCAACCCGGCCTTGGACACTTCCAGGGAACGATTCCTTCCCAATATCCCATCACTCCTTGCCCTCTGGCAGTTTAAAACCGTTCCCCTTTGTCCTGTCGCTGTCTGCCCATGGAAAAATTCCCTCTCCTTCCTGAAATGTGTCACTTGTGCTCCTCGGGGACCGTCCTGAGCCCTCCAGACCTGCTGGAACTGAAGCCTGGGGGTTCAGGGAGCGTCTGGGAGCTGCTCCCAGTGCCACAGTTCAGTTTGAGGAGCAGCCCTGAGGAGCAGGGAGTTGGAATCTGATCCTCAGGGCTCCACTCCAACTTCAGATATTCCACCATTCCACTGAAACACCTTTTGAAGGGAGCAGGCTGTGGGGAAAAGTGTGAAGGAGAATTATCATCATCCAACTTTAAATTCCTTTAACATCCCTGTTCCTTCTCTCGTGGGTTCTGCAAGGTCAGTTTTTTTTCCTCATGAACGTTGGATTTTGGGGCCTTGGGGGTTATTTTTCCGTAGAATCATGGAATTGTTAAGGTTGGAAAAGCCCTCCAGGATCGAGCCCTCCAACCCACATCCCCCAGACAGTGACAGACCCCTTTTTTTTATTTTTCCCTGCTTCCAGATCTGTTACCATTGGGATGACACCTGAGACCCCCACTTGGAAAATCTCCAATCTTTTGAAAAAAAAAAAACAAACAAAAACCACAAAACCCGGAAGTGAGGAGTGTGCACGGATGCTGAATGTTTGGGAATGAGAGGATGAGTGTGAGTGAGGCTTGAAAACAAACGAGAAAAAAGCAAACAGAACCAACACACCACATTTGAAAATCCCGCCGCAGCCACGGGAGCAGCGCCGAGCCCGGCACCGGGAAGAGGGAACCAGGAGGGAATTCTGTGCAAGCAACACGAGGGAGGCTCCTCCTCCCAACAGCCCAGGACTGGCTTCTCCGTGGGGAACGGCCAGTTGGGAGAGGAGAGGAGAGGAGAGAGGGCAAACTGGGATCAGCTGTGGCGCTCTGCGAGGTCTTGGCTGCTGGAGAGAGGTGGAGCTTGGGATTCTCCAGCACGGGATGAGGAGGGGAGGGGGTGAAGGATTTTCAGTCCGGGAGTGAGTGTGTGTGAGTGAGGCGGTATCCACATTCTCAACTTCGAGTCATTGCAGTTTATCTTTTCCCAAAAACCACACACAAAAGAAAAAAACCAACCCCACCAAAAAAAAAAAAAAAAAAAAAAAGAAAGAAAGAAAGAAATCCCCACGAAACGTTAGGAGAAAAAAAAAAAAAAGGGTTGGCTGTTGCATTTCATGAACTAACCAATTCAGTCCTACTGATGCAGCGTAAGAGATGTACAAAAAATAAACAACACACAGGTGAAAAGAGGATTAAAAAAAAAAAGTTTAAAAAAAAAATTTAAAAAAATTTAAAAAGGTTAAAAAAAAAAAAATAAAAATAAAAGGAAAGTCGCTCTTTAGGGCTTTTTATTTTAGGGAAACACTGACGAATGTTCAGAGCTCCCGGCGGGTGACGCTTGTCCTGCTCAGCAAAGCGCCTTTCCTTCCTTAAATATTGTTCAACTGTGAATGTAGAAATGGGGGGGGGGGGATAAAAACACAACTCTTGTGTTAGAGGGAATAGGAGAAAATGGTTCAATCGAGATTTCAGGCTTCAAGGGTTCAAAAAAAAAAACCAAACACACGACCTAAAAATTACAAAAAATTCCAGATTTAAGTGCTCCGAATTGGCTGTGAAAAGGGAAAGATCTCTCCTGACTTGTACTGTAGCAGCCCAGAACACTCACACCGAAATTGTGCCAAAGAGTTCAAAAAAAAAATAAACAAAAAGAAATAACTTAAAAAAACAAAACCACGCAGAGATAAAAACTTCAGGTGATATTTGGGATTGCGAACCGAGGAGAAACTCAACGGGCGAAACACACACAGGGAGTTATAGAAAATAAACCACAAAAAAACACAGGAAAAAAATGGGATAAAACGCCATTTGGAAACTGCTTGGCCTTTTTGTGCTCTTTATTTGATCAGGTTTAATGTGGTTTTTTGGTCTCTCGCTGCACTTCAAAAAAACAAAAAAACACACACACAAAATAAAAAAAAAAAGGAAAAAAAAAGAAATTTATATAAAATATATATATACTGAGTTGAGCTGACACGAGGCGGCACTTGTAAAAGGTTCTATTTTTCCACTGCAGTTGAAGATGAATAAAATGGTGTCAAACATTCCCCAATATTTTCCTTTTTTTTTTTTTTTTTTTCCTTTTTTTTTTTTTTTTTCCTCTCCTATTCTTGGCCTTTCCGAGCCCAAGGGGGAACCCAGGAATAACAAGTATTTTCATGTTTTTTTCCTTTTTCCCAGTAGAGAGTAGTGACGAGTCCGATGGGCGACTCCGCACGGGATTGGCTGCTTGCTGCTTCCCTTTCACATGAAGGATCAGAAATCTTCCCCCCCTCAGAGGAAAAGGGGGGGGGGGAACAAACAAAATAATTTAAAAAAAAAAAAAACAACCTTTTGAGGAATTCTCCCTCAGCCTGGAGTCAGCAATAAGCCAAGGAAGAGCTCGGAGGAGGTGCAGGGTTTGGAGATTCGATTTTTCATTTCATTTTGCTCCTCACAGCGTCCGGGGGCACTGGGAGAGCTGCTCCTGGGAGGGAGAGCAGGAGAAGCCTTCAGCAGTATTTGGTTTGAATTCTTGTTTGTTGTGGTTTTTTATTTTATTTTATTATTTCATTTTTTTCAGATTTTTCTTTCCATTTTGCTTCCAAGAAGACTAAAGAAGAAAATAGTATTTCTCCTTCCTCCTTTTTTCCTCCTGTCCTTTTTCCTCCTTTCCTCTTCCTTCCTCTTCCTCCTCCTTTCTCCTCCATTTTTCCTTTTTATTTTTCCTTTTTTCTTTTTCAATTTCTTTAATTTTGTCTTTTTTTCCTTTTTTTAAAATTTTTTCATTTTTTCCGATTTTTTCCAATTTTTTTTATTTTTCCTTTTTTCATTTTTTCTTTTTTATTTTTCCATTTTTCCCTTTCTTCCCCTTTTTTCTTTTTTTCCTTTTTTCTTCTTTGTTTTTCGTTTTCCCCCTTTTCTCCTTTTTTTCCATTTCTCCTTCATTTTTTCCCATTTTTTCCTTTTTTTCCCATTTTCTGCCCCGATTTTTTCTTTATTATTTTTTCTCCTTTTTTTCCCCTTTTTTTCTTTTTTTTTCCCTTTCCCACCCCCCAGTTTTCCCAATCCTGCCTCCCTCCCGTGTCCCTCCTGCTCCCCGCAGCACCACACGCTCGTACAGGGTATCAGACATGAATGTGCCTTCAGTGCTGGGCTCGGGCCACCCCGGGGCCGCCTCTGCCCCAGTGTGCAGATAAAAAAAAACTTAAGAAATAAAAAAATAAAGCGAAAGAAAAGCGAAACAAAGCAAATCCCAGGTGTCGGAGCAGAGGAGGAGCTCTGGGAAGGGCTCCGGAGCACGGCCAGGGCCAGGCCTGGCTCAACCTTTCTAGTAATGCCTTTTCTTTTTAGTTTCGGTTCTCAAGGTGGTTTGTTTTTGTTTTGGGGGTTTTTTTTTGGGTGGGGAGGTGCGGGGTGGGGGTGGTGGGGTGGGAGTTTCCTAAATATGAATTTTAAAAAATAAAAAACTATTAAAAAAAAAAAAAGCAAAAAGCCATTCCTGGGGAAAGGGGCGCGAGGGAGGAACCTGAGCATTCCTCAGTGCGACCTGTGTCTGTCCTGTGTGGCTGTAAAGGCTGTAGACAGCAGGAGAATAAAGTACAGAGACAGTAGTGGAACAAACCTGTGTCTGGCCTCTTTGTTTTGGGGGGTTTGGTGCAGGGAATCTTCCCAAAATCCACGGCAGCAAAGCAGGAGCCGCCCTGTTGTCCCCGATCCCATCACTGTGGATTGAGGGCAAAACACCTTTTTTATATATAGTTTTATTTTTTAAAAAGCTGGTTTCACTGCTTGGCAAGTTTAATTGATAGAATAAGTAATAATGAATAGAATAAATAATGTGATTGTTTTTAAATTATTATTTTCTTCCTCCAAGTCTCGTTTCAGCTCTAGAATTGAAACGCGGTTGGCTCAGCAGAGGCTGCCCAGGCTGGGCATTGGGTTGTGCTGGAGATCCCAAACTTCCCGGGATTCCAAACTCCCAGAGATTCCAAACTGCTGGGCATTCCACACTCCCAGAGATCCCGAACTGCTGGAGCTTTGGCACTGCTGGATGTTCCAAACTGCCCGAGATTTGGCTCCGGGAAGGTGCTGTCAGTGAGAACTCCCCTCTGCTCCTTTGTCCTGCCCTGCCCCTCTCAACCAACCCCTTGGTGCAGGTGGGGGACAAATTTAACCTCATCCCCCATCAACACAACCCCGAAACTGCAGCTCCAAATTGCTTCATTAATTAAATTTTATCAATTAATCGATGAAGGAACCACCCCCTTGACGCTCCTCGGCCTTCACCCATCCACCATCACCCTCTTCCCTCCCTCCACCCTCCCCGTAACAACCACGGGGAAAACACCCCGGGAGCAACCATTTATTTACCTCCCGAATCCCCCAAAATCCCACTTATTTTTGTTTTCCTTCCCTTCCCTTTTGCTGCCTCATTTCCCCCGAGGCCGCTGCCAGGATCCTTCCCCCGCCGTGTCGGAGACACGTGGGTGGGTGAGCGCTCCGGGAGTGACGAGCTCCCGTTTCCTCTCCGGGGGATCCGGAGGTGACAGCGCTGTGTCATCAGCCATATGTGCCACCCCGGCACCCGGGGACACCCGCACCATTCCCGGGACCAGCCCCCCGGGCCATTCCCCGCATCATTCCCGGGATCAGCCCCCCGGGCCATTTCCCCGCATCATTCCCAGGATCAGCCCCCCGGGCCCTTTCCCGCATCATTCCCAGGATCAGCCCCCCGGGCCCTTCCCCTCTGCTGGGCCGAAGGTGGAGCGTCTTCCCCCGGTGTGCTGAGCTCCCCACAGGGAGAGGTGGGAAAAACAAGCAACAAACTCGGGTTTGGAGCCTCGGAGGAGCCGCCGTGGCCTCGGTGCCTCCTCCCAGTCGCTGTCTGGCACTTTCCCACCCCGAGTGTGGCACTTTCCCACCCTGGGGGTGGCTCCGTGAGGGGACGGAGCACCCTGGAGTTGGTGTCACCCTCTGGAAAACAACTTCCCAGATGAGGGGACCTGAACTTGGCAGCTTTTTTTCCTTGAGGTGGTTTTGCCCATTGCTGCGGGTACCGGGGAGTGCTGGAGGAGCCACATCCCTCCTGATCATTCCTGATCCTCCTGATCATTCCCATTCCACAGGGATCATCCCTGCGTGGCTACACCGGTACTGCTCCTGGGCCCTCACCTGCTGGGGTTCCCCTACCATGCTGAAATCCCGGGAATCCAGAGGGGAGACATCCATTCTCCCTGATTCCAGCGCCCAGATGTGCCACATGGGCACTGAGCCGGGATCAGGATCAGGATCAGGGTGAGTGTGGAAGAGCTGATGGGACTGAGGGGTCATGGCAGGTAAAGTCTCGGACTGAGGGATCCAACGGGCTCCTTAATTCCTCCTGAAAGGGGTTAATGCAGGAACAAACCCAGGGCTGTCACTGAGGATGATGGAAGGGATGTTTTTGGGTTCAGCTGATGTTTCCAGCACAGCCCAGGCCTTTTGTGAAGAACTGGCAGCCTCCAGGAATCCTGGGCTGGGAGCTGGGAGAGATCCCTGGGAGCTGGGAGAGATCCCTGGGAGCTGGGAGAGATCCCTGCTCTTCTCCTGCTGCTTTTCTTCCCCTGCTCTTCCCTGCTCTCCATCATTCCCTGCCACAGGCTCCATGGAAGTGCCCTGGCGAGCTGAGGCCCCGAGGGTGCCCGAGATGCATTAGAGTTAAATAATTCAGGGAGCTGGGATGGGAATGCAGGCAGGAGGACGCTGGGAATGCAGGGAAGCAGCCCCAGGCACAGGGCAGGGCCAGGAGCCCAGGGACCATTCCCGGCAGGCAGAGGAGGCTCCAGGGACACAGGGAGGGACAAACGTGGATTTGAGGGGATTTTGGAGCAGATGAAAAGCTCCAGGTGGAGTCCCTGGGCAGGAGGGGGCTGGGTGTCCTTTGGTGGGGACAAAGGGGGGAGGCTGATGGGATGGATGAAGGCAACCCTGCCCATATGCCTGCCCTCATCCCTGCCCACATTCCCACCCTCTGGCACCACTTCCATGCTGCCCTTTGCCCTCTGCTGGCTGCACTCCCATCACAGATGCTGCTGGGGAGCGAGGATTTTACCTGCTTCCCCAGTAATTCCCGTGAAATCTGGGAATTCTGCACCTCTCAACCGCTGCCCCCCAAATGCCCGGGGGTGCTGCGAGCCCACCCTCGGCACGGGGGGATCTTCCCTTTTCCCATCCCCAGCATTCCAGAGCCTCCATCCCACACACACCAGGGCTGGGGCCGGGCTGTTTCCCTTTGCGTCAAAATTAACTTCCAACCTGATGGAAAACCTTAATTTGCACTTCAAAGCGCTTTGCAGCAAATCCGCCCGAGCTGGCACTGGATTTTTCCGGGGCCCTGTTTGCGGCAGAGCCCGTTCCTGTGGCCCTAAGGTGACACTCCAAGAGCTGTTTCCCTTCTCCAGGCCACGCACCAAAGGCAAAATGCCGTTCCCTGGCAGGAATTCCGATGGAAACGGCCGTGCTTTGCTCACTGGAGCATCAGAGCAGCCCAGTGCCCGCCTGGCATCAGCCTCCCAAAACATTCCAGGCCTTGTGATGCATTTTCGGCCCCAGCTCCTGCTCCAGTTGTGATTCCAGACAGGAATCACCAGGCATCTCGGCACCCCATGAGTGGTACCCACCAAGGCCAGCCCTGGGTGGGCAGGGGTCTGTCTGTGCCCCTGGCAATGCTCCAGGTCCTGGATCACCACCACACTCTCCCAGCATATCCAGGGCTCCAGGCAGGCACTGGACACAGTGCTGGGCAGGGGGATCTGGGATGGGAGCCCAGTGGGTGCTCCCAGCTGGAAACTCTGCTCCCTTTGGGTCTCCAGGGGGGAAAAAGGGCCTGGTGAAGCCCAAGCTGGGTTTTGCCCCGAGCCAGGAGCGATGGAGGCAGATAACCAGGATCAGGATTGCTCCAGCAGCTCCCAGCTCACCTTTGCTGCTGGATCCCCCCAAGTCCCTCATCCCAGTGGGGTGGGATGAGGCCTTTCCAGGGATCCTCGTGCCACTGGGGTCATGTCCATGCCGTGGGTCTGTCCTTGCCGTGCCGTGGGCCTGTCCCTGCGGGATCTGGGATGTGGCAGGGATCCCCCAGCCAGGGAGGCTGCTGGGGTCCTTCCCCCAGAGCTGGGTTGGAGCAGCAGCGGCAGCGGCGGCGAAAGGAGAGCAGCTATTAATAACCCTGCACTGCACAGGGAAAAGATGTAATTCCATAATGGAAGCGGCTCCGAGAACAATTCAGGGAATAAAATGTTCGGGGGTGAGGGGAGGGGGCAGAGGGGGAGCCCAGCCCCCACCATGAGGGGCAGTGTCTCCGCGATGACCCCCCCGGGGGTGAAGGGAGAAGCCCCCCCCCAGCCCCGAGACCACCTTTTGGGGGTCTCCCGGGCGCAGGAGGGGGCGGGGGCAGGGCTCCCCCTTCCCGGGGCCGGGCACGGCAGGGGTGTCAGGGGACGGGGGTCCGGGGCAGCCCGTGTGTCCCCCCGGGAGCATCGCGGGGACCGGCCGTGCCCCGGGAGGGTCACAGCCCGGGGGTCACAGCCCGGGAGTCACAGCCCCGGGGCGGCCCCGGCGCGTGGCGGGGAGGGCTGGCGGCCGCCCGGTACCCACGTGGTTCGTCGGTGTCTCGGAGCGGAAGAAACGGCGGCGGGGCCGGGGCTGCGGCGGGGACCGGGGACGGGAGCGGCACCGCGAGCGGGACCCGGCGGGGCGGAGACGGAGCCGCATCCCGGCGGGCGCCGCCGCAGCGCAGCATCGGCACCGGTGAGTGCGGGGCCTGGGCCGGGGGGACACCGCGGGGGGACGGCGCGGGGGGGACAATGGGCTGCCCCCGCCCCACCGGGCCTGTCTCCTCCCGCCACATCGCGACCCCATTCCCGTCTCCATCCCCGTCTCCCCCCGCCGCCTTCATCCCACGGGTCCATCCCAGGCTTCATCCTCGTCGCCGGCTCCGTCCTCATCATCATCCTCATCCCCTGCTCCATCCCCATCCCTATCCCCATCCCTGGCTCTCTTCTCATCCTTATCCCCATCCCCATCCTCATCCCCGTTCCTGGCTACATCCTCATCCCCATCCGCGGTTCCGTCCCCCCATCTCCGTCCCTTGTTCTATCCCGGTTCCATCCCCATCCTCAGCTCCATCCTGGCTCCATCCTCATCCCCATCCCCATCCCGGCTCCGCCCCGGACCCCTCCTGCGTTTCCGTCCCCGTCCCCCGCCCGGCGACCCCCGGCCCGCTGCGGCCCCGGGCTGGGCGCGGGGGGCCAGGAGGACCCAGGTCGGGCCAGGGGTGCTCGGGGAGGGTTTACCGGAGGCTCCGGGGCCGTCACAGGCCGGACCCCCCCGCACCCCTCACTGCGACCCTCCCCCGGGCTCACCCGCGCACTGACCCCCTTTCCACGCCTCTTCCACGCTGTTTCCACGCCGCTTTCACGCCACTGCCCTTCCTCGTGGCCCTGACCATGGCATCGCCCCCTCCCCTCAGCCCCCAAGAGCTGGGAAGGTGCCCAGAGCATCCCAGCAATGAGGAGGGGGCTCTGGGGTCCCCCTGCAGCCCTCCGAGGCTCGGGGCAGGGGGTGCCTGGCTGGGGGGGCTGCCCTGGGTTGGTGCACCCTCCTGACCCCCAGAGGGCTGCATGGGGGGTCAGGCAGCGGAGTGGGGTCAGTCCCCAACACCAGCTGGGTGCCAGCAGCCCAGCAGCACCCACTGCCCGGCACATCCCATTCCCAGCCCTATTCCCACGGGCACGCCGGAGTGCTGAGCTGCCTCCGGCTGTCCCGGCACCGGGGAGATGCAGCCCCATTTTCGCTCCTTTCCAAGGCGTTTGTAGGCCTCGAGGAGGGGCTGCGTGCTGGGAGCGTGGAGGGATCGTGGAGGGAGCGTCGCTGCCGTGGGGACCTCGGCTGTCAACCCTGGAACCTCATGAGAACGTCACCGCCTGCCCCTGACCCTCCCGTGGACAATCTCTGGAGCACCTGCCCGCCCTGGCTCCCTGCCCACACCTGGGACACACCTGCCCACCCTGCCCACGCCTGAGACACGCGTGCCCACCCTGCCCACGCCTGAGACACGCGTGCCCACCCTGCCCACGCCTGAGACACGCGTGCCCGCGCCGCAGCCCTGCCCAGCCCGCGCCGCCTCGCCCCACCCCTGGGGCTCGCTGCCAGGTGGGTGCCACAGAGGGGTATGGGTGGGGGAACCGAGGCACGGGAGTTTTGGGGAGCAGCAGGGCCGGGCCAGGGAGCTCCAGGACAGGCTGGAGGTGCAGAGCTGCCTCCAGACCCGGTGTGTCAGGGACAGAGCGGGTCCCGTGCCCATGGCACCCCCGGGCAGGGCCTGGGCAGGGCTCTGGGAACACAACAGCACAACAAACCAGGGGATTTGTTGCTTTGAGGGGTCACTGCAGCCTGAGGAGTCTCCTCTTGGCTTATGGGGGTGCCTCAGTTTCCCCAAAGGGGTGAGGACGGTGCCCAAGCACCAAAAGGTGGGTCCCCTCCATCACTGCCCCAGGGGTGGATCTGAGACCCTCCCAGGGAGGACAGAGGAGGGGTTGGAGCGGGTTTGAGACCCTCCCAGGGAGGACAGAGGAGGGGTTGTGGTGCTGGGGGGTTTATCCCTTTTTCAGCCCCCGACTGCCCACGGGAGCGCCCGGCCTGGTGGTGCCAGCAGGGCTGGGCTGTCCCCAGGCTCCACCAGTGGCTCAGGGGGGCTGTGCCATCCCCCCTCGTCCCCCTGCAGATCTCTCCTCCCTCTCCCGGCTTTGTGCTATGAATTATTTGTGCGGCCGTGGCTCCCAGATGTCTGCTGAGCCGGCGAGGCTGTGCCTGCCCGGCGGCCACCCCGGTGCCTGTGGGGTCCCTGGGTGGGACAGGGGGCAGTGCTTGGGACACCACGTGGGGCTCAGCACCCTGGGCACTGCCACCTCACCGGGACTGCTCTGCCAGACATCCCAGGAGCCACCGGAGGTGGCAGATTTGGGATCCTCCGCCACCCAAAATCCTTGTCCGGGGGGTGGGCTCTGTGGCCGGGCAGGGGGATCCCCCCTGGCCGGTGTGGGGCCGGTGCAGGGAGGCAGGTGGGCCCCGGGGGTGAGCAGCAGTGCTGGTATATAGGGCACGGCGCGGGCTGTGCCGGCACCGAGGCGTGGGAGGCCGGGAAGCAGCTCTCGTGCGGCACAGGGCGGGAGGCAGCGGCACCGGACGCTATTTCTGGTGCTCGCTCCCCGAGGGGATGGGGGGGAAAGTCACCGTGTCCCCCCTGCCGGGGTGCTCTGCTGGGGATGGGCTCTGCTCCTGCCCTCGTCCCTGGTGGTGACAGGGGGGCTCGGGGGGTGTCAGGACCCTGTCCCTCCTGTCCCTGGTGGGGACAGAGGTGATCGCATGGCCAGTGTCCCCCTGCCAGCCCGGGAGATGCTGTGGCAGCTCCTGGGATTGTCCCTCCTCCATCACCCGTTGTTTTTGGGACACGCTGATCTCCCTCTAGCCCTGCTCTGTCCCCAGGCCCCACCTGTGCTCATCCATCCTGGATCTCACCCCCCTGTCCCCACAGCTCCAGGGGCTGCCCCCGGCCGGGTCCACCCCTGCCCCGGGATCAGCGGTGTCTGTGTGTCCGTCTGTCCGTGCCGTGTCCCCCCAGGCAGGACATGGACTCCATGTTCGAGGACGACATCAGCATCCTGACGCAGGAGGCGCTGGGGCCGGACGAGGACTGGCTGGACAGCCCCAACACCGACCTGTCCGGGGAGATGTGCTCGGCCTCGCACTTCGCCCTCATCACCGCCTACGACGACATCAAGAACCGGCTCACGGGGCTGGAGAGGGAGAACTCCACGCTCAAGCGCCGCCTCAAGATGTACGAGGTCAAGGTGAGGGGTCAGGAGGGGCAGGGGGAGCTTGTGGGGCCGGGGGGGCCCCGCTGACCCCCTGCCCCACGGCCACAGTACCCCCTGCTCGGCGAGTTCGGGGAGGAGCACATCTTCTCCCTCTACGAGGCCAAGGAGACGTCGCTGCTCAAGAGCGAGAAGGCGTCGCTGCAGCAGCAGCTCAACCAGTTCCAGCACGAGGTGAGCGGGGATGGCAGGGATGGGGGGCGTCGGGGGCCCCCAGAGCTACCCACTCACCCCACCCCTGCTCCCCTGGCAGCTGCAGAAGAGCAAAGAGCGGGAGGAGCAGCTGGAGGAGATGATCCAGGCGTACGAGAAGCTGTGTGTGGAGAAGGCTGACCTGGAGACCGAGCTGGGAGAGATGGTGGGTGATGACCCCCTGGGGCCTGGGGACATCAGGGTGCCCTTCCTCTCCCCGTGGCAGCAGCTGGGCTGGTGGCATCTCCATCCCAGGGGATGCAGGGCTGGGGGGCCGTGGCTGCTTGGCCGTTTGTCGGGGGTTGTAGGGATGCACGTGGCTCAGCTTTATCCATCTTCTCTCTCCAACCCTGCCAAGTGTGGTGCCAGTCCTATTTCCAGGGTTGGGTGGGCTTCCCTGGCTCCCCTCTCCCATCCAAATGAGGCCCTGCCAGCTGAGGGGCCACCCCCACCACACCACCCTCACCTGGGCTGGGACAGTTTTTCCCCCAGCACCGCGGGGACCCCAAGGGCTGGGTTTGGGGCAGGATGAGCCCCAGGGAGGGGGGCTCAGCTCATCCCCATCCCCTCCCTGGGCAGCGGGCGCTGGTGGAGACTCACCTGAGCCGCATCCGGAGCCTGGAGCAGCAGCTGCGGCAGCGCGACGGCAGCGCCTTCCCGGGTCTGGGCACCCCCATGCCCGGCCAGGAGGTGCCTTTCATCAGCCTGCACCCCAACCCGGGGCTGAGCCACGGTGAGCAGCCCCCTGCCCGCCCCCCAGGCCCCACCGTGCCCCCCTTGCTGGGGCAGGGCCGGGGCTGATTCTGTTCGGTGCCCGCAGTGCTGGAGCGCGCCGGGGGCTGGCAGAGCCGGGGGCTGGAGGCTCAGGGCAGGCTGGAGGCTCAGGGCAGGCTGGAGGCTCAGGGCAGGCTGGAGGCCGAGCTGGAGGCGGCCCGGCAGGAGAACCAGCGCGCCCAGCACCGCGAGGAGCACCTCAAGGCTGAGTGCGAGAGGCTGCAGGCGGAGCTGAAGCACCTGCAGGACAGCCGGGAGCAGGTACGGGGGGGTCTGGCCGTGTGGGAACACCCCCTGCCCCGCAGGGTGGGGGCTGGGTGTTCAGATGGGGCAGGGTCTGGCTGTATGGGACCCCCTGTCCGTGGTGGGTGGGGGTCTGGGTGCTGACGGGGTGTCTGCTCTCCCCAGGAGCAGTCGGAGCGGGACATGGCCTGGGTGAAGAAGGTGGGCGACGACCAGTAAGTGCTGGGAGGGCTCTGGGCTGTGCTGGGGGGTCCCCACTCTGGCAGGCAGGGCTGGGGGCACACAGGGACAGCCTGTGGGGCGTCACACCCAGGGTGGGGACAGGACCCGCTCTGGGAGGGCTCCCTGGAGGTTCCCCACGTTGAGGTGCTGCAGTAGGTGGGATCCTGCACCCCAAGATCAGTCGCTGAGCCCTGGGAATTCGCAGCTAAGCAGGTCCCTGGGTTGGGGGTGCCCAGTGACACACGGTGTGTCCGGTGCCCGGTGCTGTGTCCGGTGCCCGGTGCTGTGCCCGGTGCCCGGTGCTGTGTCCGGTGCCCGGTGCTGTGCCCGGTGCCCAGTGCTGTGCCCAGTGCCCGGTGCTGTGTCCGGTGTCCGGTGCTGTGTCTGGTGCCCGGTGCCGTGTCCGGTGCCTGGTGCTGTGCCCGGTGCCCGGTGCTGTGTCCAGTGCCTGGTGCCACCTCGGAGCTGCCTCCAGAGGGCACTGACAGCTCGTGGCTGCCGAGGATCACCGGCTGTCACCAAACAGCGCCAACGCCTGTGCCACGCCTGGGCACCGACCCACGCCATCCCCACAGCACCAGTCCGTGCCAACCATATGGCACCAACCCACGCCAACCACAGGGCACCCAGCTGTGCCAGCTGTGTGGCACTGGGCATCACCATCTGGCATCAGTCCATGCCATCCCCACGGCACCAATCCGTGCCAATCGTACTCCAGCCCATCCGCCCTGGGCAGTGCCAGGATCATTCCCATCTTGCCTGGAACCACTGGCTCCCCCTTCCCCAGTGCCAAACCCTGCTGGAGGGTTTCCCTTGGCACTGGGGTAACCGGGTGGTGCCAGTGCTGGGTGCAGGCCCCTCCTGCAGCCCTTGTGCCTCCTCCCAGTGTCCCCCTCGCTGCAGCCACGAGCTCTGGGTGCTCCACCCGGGCACCCCTGGGTGCCGTGTGGTGCTGGACAAGGGCTGAGCTTCTCAGGTTTGGGGGGTTTGGGCCAAGACACCCCAAATCTGGGAAGAGCTGATGGGAGATGGGGCTGTGACCAGACCCCCTGGGGGCTGACAGTGGCATCAGCGACCACTTGCCCTGAGATCAGCCGCCTGTAGCCGGTGTGATTCGGCAGCTGCCTCCATTCCCTCCACCCTGGGACGTGGCAGGGGGACTTTGCACCCCCGTGTCCCCCCCACACTGTGACACCGGGCAGGACGTGCCAGGCTGGCACTGATCCCCCCCCAGGCAGCCTGTGCCGAGTTGTGGATGGATCAAAGGTGACACACGGGGCTGGGAAGGTGCTGAGGTGCTGGGTCGGGGGGGTTCCCCCTGCTTTTCCAGAGGTGTTGGATGTTTTTTGCTGTTTCTTGTCTTCCTGCCATAAATCAGTGTGTGGCGATCCACACTGGCATCCCTGGGAGCTTCTCCTCTCTCTGCTGCACATCCCGGGGTGGGGGGGTCCCCTCCATGCCCCTCCCCACCCTTCCCCACCATAATTCACTTTATTTCCATAAAGTGCAGCCTCCTATGCCTGGGAGAGCTGAGCTCACCCCTTATTTTATCCCCTCTCCCCGTCCCCCTTCCCACAATACCCACCTTCCCCGGGGAAACAAAACTCCCAATCCCACCTTAGGCCCAAATTCCCCAGGCTGGGAAGGGGAAACTGAGGCACACCCTTGCCCCGGGGGCACCTTCCCCCCTTCCCCGGGCTCAGCGCGCTCTGATCTTGTCGATTCAGCTCGTTTTTGCCACCTGCTCCTCTCCGCCACTCTTTTGGTGTGAAAAGCGCCTTATCGGCGTTTTCCATCTCCGGGTGATTTTCTGGTGCTTTGCCACAGCGGGCTCGGGGCCGCTTTTCCTTCTTTTTGGTTTCTTTTCTTAGTTTTGACCCTTTTTTTCCCCCTCTTTTCCTTCCTTTCTCATTTCCTCGCTTTCCCTTCTGCATCCTTATTTTTCTCCTTTTTCTCTGTGTAATCTTTTCCTCCTTTTCCCTCTTTTTTTTTCCCCCACCTCCCTTCGCTCTTTTTCTCACCGTACCCTTCCTTTCCCCATTCCCGGGGGGCAGGGGCAGGCCCGGCCGTGTCAGCAGCGGTGACAGCGGCGGCTCCGGGTGCCGGGGGTGTCACAACGGCTCAGCCGAGCCTGCCAGGACGGCCCCGCGGGGCCCTCACAGGCGGCTTCTCCCTTCACATCCCCGCGGAGGAGCCGGGCTTGGAAAGCGACACCAACCCCGGGCACGGTTGATGGCTTTGTCACAGAGCTCGGGGAGGGGGGTGAGGACTCACCCCCCGGATGCTCCCGGCTGCTCCCACAACTTTTCCCCTTATTTTTAAGTGGACAAGCTGAATTTGGGTTGGTGTGGGGGGTTCCCAGTGGAACTGGGGGGTTGGACAGCGGGGCTGTGTCACCCTCAGAGCAATCCTGTGTCCCCCGCAGGGTGAACCTGGCGCTGGCCTACACGGAGCTGACGGAGGAGCTGTGCCGCCTGCGGAACCTCAGCTCGCTGCAGAGCCAGATCCTGCGGGCCCTGCTGCAGGACAAGGGCCTCAACGGCGGTAAGGTCCTGCCCTGGGAACATCCTGGGATCATCCCACCCCAAGGGGCACCCATATCTGGGAATATTCTACCCCAGGAGCATCCCACCCCAAGAATGTACCTGGGAGCATCCATATGTGGGAGCATCCCACTCCGGGAGCATCCCACTCCAGGAGCATCCATTCCTGGGAGCATCCCAGCCCCGAGAACATCCATATGCAGGATCCTCCCACCCCAAGGGCATCCATACCTGGGAGCATCCATCCTTGGGTGCATCTCCCTCCAGAAGCATCCTCTCCCAGAATCGTCCCACCCCAGACACACCCACTCCCTCCCTCTGGGGGTCCCCACAGCCACATCCCCCCTCCATCCGGGATGCCGAGGGATGTTTTCCACACCGCCGAGCTAACCTGGGGGGGTGTGTGTGTGTGTTTTCCTTTTCCAGGCCAGCGCCACTCCCCGCTGTCCCAGTGCCACTCCCCGCTGTCCCAGTGCCACTCCCCGCTGTCCCAGTGCCACTCCCCGGCCCAGCAGCGCCGCTCGCCCGCCCCGCAGTGCCCCTCTCCCGCCCCGCCGGGGCGCTCCCAGTGCCAATCCCCCGCCCTCCAGCGCCGCTCGCCCGGCCCCCCCAGCCAGTCGCCGGCCCAGCAGCGCCGCTCGCCAGCCCCCGGCCCCTGCCAGTCCCCCGCGCAGCAGCGCCGGTCCCCGGTGCCCCCCTCCAGCCAGTCCCCCGCGCAGCAGCGCCGGTCCCCAGCGCCGCCACCGCCCTGCCCGTCCCCCGCCTCGGCCTCCCCGCACCGGCTGCCCGGCGAGAGGATGGAGCTGGGCTACGCCAAACCCTCCAGCCGCCACATCAAAGCCGGCTTCCAGGGCCGCCGCAGCTACTCGGAGGTGACCAACGTGGCCCTGTACCAGCAGAGCCGCTCGCCGTGGCTGCAGCCCGAGGCCTCCACGCTGCCCAAGCACCGGCCCTACGGCGAGGTGTACCTGGGGGGCGCGGGGGCCCCCCTGAGCGCCCACGAGCCCTTCGAGGAGCACGTGCGCTTCGAGAAGCAGTCGTCGGACGAGGAGGAGTGGGCCCTGCCCAGCCCCCCCAGCCCCGAGGCCGGCGCCATCCGCTGCGCCTCCTTCTGCGCCGGCTTCCCCGCGCCCGACGCTGACGCCCTGCACCGCACGGCTGCCGCCTACGCCAGGGCAGAGCACGCCCAGTCCTGGCCCTCCATCAACGTGAGTGGGACCCCCAGGCCCGGCCCCCTCAAGGGGTGTTGTGGGGAGTGGGTGGTTGTAGGGCGGGGAGCATCAACCCACCCCACAGGCCTCCTCGGATTCCATGTTTCTAACCCGCCTCGGTCCCGGCACCTGGAATGTTACAGGGAGGACACGGGGGGAGGGGAGATGTGGCCACCCTCGGGGTCTCAGCACCACCCCTGTGCCCCCCACAGCTGCTGCTGGAGACGGTGGACTCGGAGGTGAGGAGCTGCCCCCTGTGCCAGCTGGCCTTCCCCATCGGGTACCCGGACGATGCCCTGGTGAAGCACATCGACTCCCACCTGGAGAACAGCAAGATCTGAGCCTTCCCCCCGCCCCTTCCCGACCTTTGGATGCTGCATGAGAACACTCCAGGAGCTCCACGGCTCCCCAAATACCTCCAAGTCTTCAGTAGCTACAGAAAGACTGAGCCCCCTCCCTACCCAAACCTCAGAGCCCCCCGGAGCCCCCCAGCCCCCTGTAAGTGGATTCCTCGCCCCGTCCCTGCATCCGTGCCGGGTTTGGATGCTGGAATTGGGGTGCCAGGATCACACCATCCCAGATGGTGGCTGGAGAGGACCTGTCTGTGCCCTTGGGTGTCCTCTGCACCCTCAGGTGTCGCTGCTTGATCTCAGAATGGATCCGAGGGGCCGGGTCCTGGATCTGGCCCCCAGGAAGCAGGTGAGGGGAAGGGGCTGCCCCTTCCCCTGCTCCTGGGATCACAGCTGGGGTTTGGGGGGCAGGAGGGAGGGACAGCTGCTTGTTCTCGGTCCCCCTCTCCTCATCCCACCAGTTCAAGCACCTTTTACACTAAAAGCTCCCCCTCCCCTCAGTTTCTCCCCCTCCCCCCAAAGATGCTGCTGAGAAACAAACCCTGAGATGCAGCAAGGACCCCTCCCGCCACGTTGCACTGGGCTCCGTGGCCCTGGGGGCTCTCCCTGACACCCCCCCCGGCGTGGGGACAGCGCAGCCCCCCAGCAGCTCCCCCTATCCCTCCCCAGACCCCCCTGCTTTGGCCGGGGGGCTGCAGGCGGCTGCTCACCCTGAGCCCCCTACCCCTTCCCCCCGTCCCCCACGTTCAATCTACCTCAACGCCGCCGGGAGAGGGGGGTCCGCAGCACTGTCCCCCCCTCACTGAGCCGCTCTGCGCTGCATGTCCCCCCCGTGTCACAGCGCACATCCCCCCCACACACACACACCCCGGGGCTCGGCTGGGTGCGACCCCGCCCCTGCCCTGGGACCTGCCTGGCAGAGGGACCCGCCCCCGCAGCGACGCCACTGACCCCAATAAAACCTTTCCAGCGCCCAAAATGCCACGGAGGGGGGGGAAGCTGTCTGCTCTCTTTGGGGCCCTGGGGAAGGGGAAGGGGGTCCAGGCTGCGGGTAGTCCCCCCGGGGCTGGGGATGGGGCAGGGGGCGAGCCTGGTGCTGGCACAGCCAACCCTGGCAGAGCCAACTCGTGTCACCCGAGTGGCTGAGGGGGGTGATGGGGTTTGGGGGGCCCACTGCCGGCGTTCTGCACCCCTGTCGCCCTTCCCGGTGACACGTTTTGGGTTTACTGGGCTGGTGGATGACACAAAATGGGACCATCAGAAGCAATACCAAAAACTCTCCAGAGCGGCGATGACAGAGGGGACACAGCCAAACCCCGGTGGGTGGCTCCCCGTGCAGAGCTTGGGGGTCCGATGGGATCCTCCTGGACATCCTGGTGGAAGGGTCTTCCCTATAGACCCCCATCCCTCCCCCTATGGGTACCACGGCTGGGGTAGCACCGCCAAGACCCCCTTCTCTGTGTTATTGTAGGTCCTACAGCCTCCCCGCCCGGGCTGAGGGTCCGGGGCTACCCTGTGGGGATTTTTACACCCCGTGGGGCTGAGGGCACACCACCCCGGCGCTGAAACACCCTCCGACTCGGCTACTCGTGGAAAACCCCAGCCGCTGGCTCCGACGGGGAACACCCATGGGATGAGCCGCTCCCGTTCTCCGCCCGCCCTGCCCGGGCAGGCTGCGGGAGGCGGGGGCGGAGGGGTCTGTGCCGGCCCCCTGAGCCCAGCCCAGCCCCGAGCAGGGTGCGAAGCCGGTTCCCAGTGCTGCGGGGCGATGGTGTGAAGGAGATAGGCTCGGTGCCGCCGCCTTATCGCCGCCTCATCTCCGCCTCTGCCAGGGCAGGGGGAGGAAGGGCAGGACCCGGCCCCTCGGGCGGGCAGCGGCAGTGCCCGGAGCCGCGGGGCTGAGCCGGGGGGGACGCGGGGATGCTGCGGGGAAGGGTCCCAAAAGTCACCAGGAGGGGACGGATCCTGGGGTGGCATCGGCTCTGACCGGGCTCCTTCTCTGCCCGTCCAGCGGCCGGGACTGGAAAGGCGCCGGGCCGGGGGCGGAGGAGGGGCCTGGCTGCGGTCGGGGGGTGCCCGGCCCCCACCCCGGGGTTCTCTCTCTTTTTTGAAATCACGTGATAAATGTCAAACGGCGGGGCCCTTACTCATCCCGGCACCCTCCCGGCGCCGCTTCCCCCCGGGGGCGGTGCCGCTGACTCAGGAGGCTGCCGGGCTCCCCCCGGCCCCGGGGACCCCCCGGCCCCCCGAAACCGCCGTCCCTTCTCCGGCTCCCCGGCCGGGCGGGAGGAGCTCCAGGACAAGTGTCACCTGGTGCAGATGCGTCCCCATGACGCTCGAGTGAGTTTGGGGGGGGGTGTCCCGGCACCCCAAATCCACTGCCTGGGGGCTGCCCTGCTCCTTGTCGCGGTGCTGGGAGGGGTCAGGGGTGCTGGTGGTGCCTCTGGTGGGCACGAGCTTCGGTGCCCGTCGCTGTGCCTTGCTGAGCACCTTTCACCTGCTGTGAGCAGGATGAGGGCACATCGCCCACCCCTGCACCCCTCTGTACCCCACTCAACCCACCCACTGCCAGCGCTGCCCCCTTCCCATCCCACTGAGCCCCCACTGCCCTCTGTGCCCATGTCCCCCATGTCCCCCATGTCCCCGTGCTGGTGGGTCACACCTCACCGTTTCCTAAGTGACAACCTTCTTTAATGTTACTGTTTTTCCCACCAAAACCCCCTCTTATTCTGGGCAGGTTCAAGGTTTCTTTTTCCAGCTTTCAGGTTTGTTGGTTTTTTTGGTGTGTTGTTTTTTTTTTCCCCCCTTTTCTCGGTGTTTTTATCATTTAGGGGAAAAACGATACAATTCTCGCTGCTCGGGTCCCTCTTTCCCCTGCAGGGGGGTGCTGGGGGGAGGGAGGAGAGGGTACCAGGGATGCCCCTGCTCCATCTCTGGGCGTTTGGAGCCAGCTCCGTGCAGGAATGAGTGTCCTGGTCCCTCTGGATGCACGTAGGGGATTCTCTGACTCCTATTAAGTTTGTGCTCCTGTCTTGCCCTGGCTGTTTGTCCTTCCAACTTTGTCCACCAAGGGGGGTCACCTGCACGCCCGAGTCGATCCTCCCAAAGCGGGGAGGAGTAATTCCCATTGCCCCTCCCGGATCCAGGAGGGCTCCAGGGGACTCCCGGCCTGGCTCAGGGGCAGCGGTGGCAGCTCCTGCCCGGGTCCCTCGGTTTATAGGAAACGGCTGTGCGAGGAAGCGCCCGGCTCTCCTGCCGGGGTGAGCGTTTCTTTCCAGCCGTGGGCGCCCCGAAAGGCCCCTCAGCGCGGGGGATCGGGTGTGAGTCAAAGCCGGAGCCCTGGGGTTTAACCACAAAGCCCCAGAGCTGCCGTGTCACTGGGGAGCCGTGCCAGAGGCGTTTATAAGAAATGGAGGGGCTGCCTGAGGGGGAGGGACCCCGGCTGGCACCGGGGGCTCTGCCCACCCCTTGGAACAAGCCCTTTGGCCCCATGGCTCGGCTCTTGGGGCACGTTTTCTGCAAAAGGAGCCGGTGCTGCTGCACCTCAGCTTCTTGTCTTGGCTCTTTCCCAGGGGTGCTCGGTGCCCACGTCACCCCAGAGTGCCCACATCACCCCAGGTATCCTGGATACCCGCATCCAGCGAGATTCCTGGTGCCGGCATCACCCCTGGGTCCCTGTGTATAGCCGGACACCCAGTGCCAGCATCACTCCAGGGTGCCCACATCGCCCCCAGGTGCGTGAATCCACCTCGGGCACCAGTTCCCTGCATCCCTCTGGCCCCGGCGTGCCCGGCTCTCCTGCCCTGCAGCAGCAGCCGCCTGTCACCCTGTCCCTCCCCTGCCAGCCCCGTCCCCGCTGGCTGCTGTCCCCGTCCCACACGTGTGCCGGCAGCTGCCTGACCTCTCGCAGATGCTCTTCCTGGAGAGACACAAGGTTTTCACACGTGCCTCGCCCTCCCCACAGCCTTGAGGGGGGGTCGGGGTGGAGGGGCTGTGGTGACAGGGACCTCCAGCCCTTCACACCCAGGACGTGCCACGTCCCCTCCCGGCCAAGCCACCCCAGTGTCCTTCCTCATCCCCGTGATGGGATCACCTCTTTCCCATCCATCTGCGGTGACCCCCCTCCCCATTCCCAACCATCGGGGGGGAAGCACGGCCTCAAATGACAGCGGGGGGACACACACGCTCTCGCAGAGCCCCGGCTGCCATGTGCCCAGCGCCATCACGGCTGCTGCGGAGAGACAAGTGCCACCGGGCCCCCCGGGGACCCTCGAGCTGCCGGCCCGGCCCCGGCCCCGCGCTCGGGACCCGCCACCTCGCTGCGGGGAGGTGACGGAGCCAACGCGCCGTGACACGGGGCTCGCACCCCCCCGTCCCCACTGCCGCGGCCAGCGCCTCGCCAGCGCCCGCCGGGGGGGACTTCTCGGCTGTCACAACCCATCTGCGTCGGGGGCAGCGTCTGCCGGCGCCGTAAGTGGGGTTAAACTCGGGGTCACCCCGATCGAGCATCCACGGGGGGGTCTGGTGGAAGGCAACACCCCCCTTCTCCCCAAATACCCCCTGCGCCCTGGCACCCCCCGCCCCTGGTTGCCACCAGAGTGGGATGCAGGGAGTGATGCTCCGTCATGCTGGTCCCTGAGTGGCTCTCGGGGTCCCCTGAGTGGCTCTCGGGGACGGCGCGGTGGTGGCCAGATGTGTCCGCAGGGAGCGGCTCCTCGGCTGTCGCTGCGGGTCACCGCGGCCACGGGGACACGTGGGGCCGTGACGGACGCGACCCGCGGGTGGCCCCGCGCTGGCCGGTGGCCCGAAATGCAGCACCCGGCGGGTGCCCGCGGGCCATCGACACCCGCGCCGGCAGCCTGAACTCCCCGTGACCCACCGGCACCGCGGCTGCTACCGGAGAGGCCACCCCGGCACCGGGACACCCTCCCGGGGTCATAGCCCGGCGCTCCCCGCCGCATCCCACTGGAAAACTGCGGGTGTCCCAAAGCCCTCCAGGGCCGCGGCGGCCGGCGTCCTGGGGACAAATCTGGCCCTGTTTGGTCAGTGGAGCCTCAGGCAGGTGGGGTTTGGGGCTGGGGTGGATGGCACATCCCACCCCCATCATCTCCATGGCGCCCCTCCCTCATTTTCAGCCCCCCCGCCGCTGCCGCCCGGGCTCACACGGTGCCGCCGGACCCGCGGGCGGCTCCTTTTAACCCGCGGCTGAAATGAAACCGGCTCCGGCTCCTTCCCCGTGACCTATTTTTAACATTTGATTGGAATTATTTCCCCCTCAGCCCCCCCGCCCTTCCCTTCCCTTCCCTGTTCCCGCGCGCCGGCCCCGGGTGCGAGCGCGGTGTCAGCCCCGCGTCACATCAATTAACGCGCGCGGGGCGTCATTTGTCACTTTGCATTTCCCGAAGGCCCCTCGGTGGTGCCGCGGCCGTGGCGGGGGGCGCACGCCGGGCTGGGGGTGCCCCCTCTTCCCTCTCCCGGGCTGAGGACGGGGATGCTCCTCCTGCCCCGTGTTTTTGGGGGTGCCGGAGCCCAGTGGCCGCTGCTGTCCCACACCTCGGTGTAGGGTGCCGGTGCTGGGTACGAGGGTCCCCGGCGGGGGCCGGGACACCCGAGCACGGCCCCCCCCCGGCCCCGAGCAGCCGGTGCCGACACCTCCACTTCCGTCGGCAGGGCCCCCACGGGTATTTTTAACTCCCGGCTCTGCCGTTTGGCACGCGGTGAGTGTCCGTCCCCGCCGCTGTCCTGCCTCCAGCTGCCTCCCCCAGCCCGCGCCGCCCCCCAGGGCAGGATCGGACCCTCCAGAGACACTTCTGAGGCTGCAGGACTGCATGGGACAGGATTGGACCCTACCGGGGAT